ATTAAGTTAATATAATAAAATTTCATAGAAATTAAAATATTTATTTTTCACCCCTCATATGTGTGTGCATGATTGCTAAGCTAACATACAGCTTTTAATATACATTAACTCATGAAAAAGAAAAAGTATGGACTCTTCAATACATAATTTAACTCACACACTCACAATGCATAGTCTTAAGCTTAAATCTTCAGTCTTTCTTCATGTATGATGTTACCTGAAAGGTTAGTTGTGAACAAAGTAAATATCCAAAATAATATGCATGAATAAATAGATAATCTTTCAATAATATTTGTAATTATCAAAACACAACGTCGGGCTCCCAGATTGTAACACATAGGAGGAGCTTCAGTTGTTCACTAATGCAATGCAAAGGTAAAATGATTCTCTACCTGAAATTTGACCATCTACACAACATCTAAAATACTTTAGTACTTATACAATTTAAAAGAACCTCTCCTAATGTTTATAAATGTTGATTGTGTTCACTATAAGCATGCTACAAATATGTGTGGGAATTTCTTATCTAAAAAAAGTATAACTCCTATCTTGATTGCATGTTCTCTCATCGCTGCAGATGGGAATTTAACAATGTAGGTAAATTATCAGATTACATGCAACATTGTTTTCTCTTTATTCTTTATACCTACAAGGGCATGGAAGTTGAGCTAGCCCAAGAGAAGAATTCATTTCAATTGCAATACCTTAAAGATGAGGTAGCTTATACAATTGATGTGCAATATCAACATAACCTGCTTCAAATATGGATTTTAATTCTCATCAAAGAAAGAAATTGGACAATGTTATCTTGAGATGAATTTTAGCTGAGTATTCATAATCCTTTTTCTTGAAAAGTAGGAAAATTCTATAAAGATCCAAGCCAACTATTTTGATTTGAAAGATAACAATAAATATGTATGATAATAAAAATTTCCTTTTATAATTTTTTTTATCCAAAATTATCATAAATGAAGTTGAAGAAATTGGCAAAAGCATATCTTCAAGAAACAATATGGGCTAATTAGTATTATGTGCCCAAGCTTGAAGAACACTTTATTGTCACACTTTTAACTGCTGGTTGCTCATTTTTAACATGTGCCTCTTCTATTGGCATGGAAGGGTTTATACATACAGGTGTATTTAATTGGGTTAAAAGCTTCCTTGAGTTCATTAAAGCTTCTTGTGCAATTAGAAGGCTAATGAATGATGTTGTCTCATATGAGGTAATAAAATTGCAAATCATGAGTTTATCTTTCAAGTAAATTTATGTGAAGATATCCACATTATCTTATAAATGCAATTGTGTTTCAGTTTGAATAAAAGATAAATCATGTTGCTTAAGTTGTTCAGTGCTACGTCATGGAAAATGAATGCTCTATAGAAGAAGCATGCGAGAAGCTATTAGAGATGTCGAATGATGTTTGGAAAATCATAAACAAATAATTTATCACACATAGGATTTGGCTTATCATTAATCTTGCAAGATTTCACGAGTTTTTCTACCTTGGCAAAGACTTATATACACATTTAGATCAAATCATGAAAGAGAACAAAAGTGTTGTTCTAATTGAACATATTCAAATTAGTATGTTGAAGGATTGAGTTGTAAGTCTACTTGTATGTAATAATATTATAATAAAGGTTTGTGTGCTTATATGGAAGCTAATACTAAAATTAGCATAATTGAGAAGCAAACTTGTTTAATTGTGTAAGCTCAATGTTGCCTAAATTTGTAATATTTTTGTTCAAATCCAAAAATATAATGAGATATTGTCTTATATAATTTCCTAATCTTCATCTTTTATCACTTTGAGAAAAAAAATATAAAATCAACCATCTATATTAATAGAAAAAATTTCAATTATGGCTAAGTTTATTTGTGTTCTCAACTAGATACTTTAATGTCAATTTGTAAATGACAATATTCCATTACTTAACGATATGATCTTTAACATGCCTTGTTTGTAATGTATTTGTTTAAATGTGTGATCATAATTTAACTTTCACTTATATAATATAAACTATTTACAAAAGATAAAATCCTTCATGTTGAATCCAAAATTAATTTGAGGCAAGTTCTATTGAGGTGAGTTTTCTTGTAAATTAGGGAGTCTCTTTTGGATTAAGACCAAGCATGCAAACATAGTTAATTTTGCTTGAACTATCTTGAATTAGCTTAAACCAAATTTCATTGAAATTTAGATGTATATTTTGCTCCATATTTTGCTAGATTCTCTTATATAATTAGAGGTTTATTGCAATAGGAATAAGAGAATTATATATATATATATATATATATATATATATATATATATATATATATATATATTCTAACAAAAAAATGAACTTCTCTTGAAAAGAAAAAGAAAGAGTAGGATTGAAGAGATGTAGGCCAAAGACATTAAACTTCTAGAACACGTTGCTTCATCAAATTCCTTATTTAATCAACATTATTCCTCCCTTGCTCTTGTGAAGTTAATATCGCTTCGCCAATGGCCGCTCTCCCTCAAGCTAGGCTAAAATTGGATAAGAAAGTAAAAATTAACTCATTTAGAAAAAAAAAACTCTTAATAAATTATATAAAATTAATTTATGAGTAATTATTAATGCAATTCTTCTTTCTATGAGTTAGTTCTAAAGTGAGATGCCCATTGTTAAACCTCCAACTAGCCAAGAGCTTCAAGGAGAGATAATTAAATCGACCAAGTAATGGTTTTGTCATTAACTAATGTTGCTTAGCCGCCCATGGAAGTTGAGGAAATTGAAGTCGTTAAGCTACTTGTTATATTAATTGAGACTGAAGTCGCCAAGCCGACTATTGAAATAATAGAAATTAAAGTTGTTGAGATGCATGTGGAACAACATGGTCATGATGATGATGGTAGGTGCAATATTTTTATTGGTCATGCAAATGATTTCCAACCCTCATAGGCTCCTACCTTTTGGAGATATTCTTCTTTTGAATGGCCTCAATGAGATCGACCATGGAGGCTCACAGCTAGCCATAGTCAATCGTGGGTGAGTTGGAGGCAATGGCCTCTCTCTATGGCAATCATCACATCGTTCCACTTTTTGTACTTTCTGATCAAAGGGTTGAATTCTCAAAAGTTCGATGTATCTTCTTTGATCATGATAATATATTCTTTTTGCACTAGCTCCTTGGGTAACTTTTCTGATCTATAAGAAATTGCTAGAATTTTCCTCACATATGATTTTCCTCCTTCGTCATAGTTGTAGTAGAGGCACTAGCCTTCTTATTGTACTCCTCATCATTTATATAAATATTGGTGTGTTCGAGTAACTTGGCCAAAGTCCTTGGCTATTGCTAACTGAGTGCATAACAAAATATCCCTTCTTACAAACCTTGAGTGAGAGCAACATGGATGGCATCCAGCTTTAGATCCTTCATGTGAATTTTCTTCTTCTAAAATCAAGTGACAAAATTCCTCAGCAATTCACCTAATTCATGTTTAATGCACATTAAGGCTTGAGATTTTTGTAATAGCCTTTGAGCATTAATAAAATTCACCATAAACATTCTCTTGAACTTACTAAAAGAGGCAATAACTTTATGTCAGATGTAGGATCCACTCTTCCCGTGTTTAAAACTAGACAAGGGATTTTGTACATTGCTAGGCCTTAGCCTTAGCAATATCCCTTAAAAAGGCATTGACAAGCAACGATGCCTTCTTCTTAAAGTTCCTTTTTTATTTTTTCGAAAAAAAAAATATTTAGGCTTGAAAATTATGGTGCAGCTCCCTCGAGAAAATTGCTTGAAACAATGCATGAATGCACTCTACCAGAAAAAATCATAAGCAATGGCATTTCCACCATATTTTTATCCTTTAGAACAAGCCTAGTCTAAAGGGCTTGCCAACATTGTGTAATTCATTAAAAGAAAAAAAAAAAGGAGATTAACATACATATCACAAGTGTATTTAATTACATATATAACACCTAAGTTTTGATATTTACTCAACATTTTAATGTCATAATCACATCAGAATAAATACATGAAAGATGCATTTCACTTTAGAAAAGTTAATACTAATTGTCTTTTTAATGTGATTTAAGAATTTGGATGTTATATAATAAAATATCAAATTATGATAAATCCTCTTATTATAGGAGAGCCTTAGGTTTCATTTGGGACAGTTTTCTTTGCTGCTTAATTTCAAAAGCAATTTTTAGTACAGAAATTTTTAGTTCTAAAAAATTTTAGTACTAGAAAACTGCTTTAAATAGCAATAAAAAGCTATCCCAAACTGCAATGGATAATTTCAGTTACTAGTACATCCCAACTATAATAGTTGTTGTGTACTATCCAATTTATTAAAAAATTATTGAGCTTCATTATGTGGAGTCTCTTTGACATCAGTGATTAGGGGGTCTTCTATGTTTATATCACTGCAATTTTCAATAATCTATGGGCCAAAAATTAAAAAATAATAATAAAAATTAAAAATCATATCTTCATATTAACGAGTTTGATTATTCGCACGGTAATTGTTATTACTAGCTTGTTTTTCATTTTCAAGTAGTGGCATATTATGATATTCTTGCTCATTTTCTATGAGATGAACAATGCCAATAATTAGATAATAAATCATATCTCATTATAAATTTATCAAGTAAATTAAAACTTTACAATTCATGAAACAAACGTTGCTCGTATAGTTAAAAAGAAAAACCACGTTGTTTGAAAGCATATATAGAAGAACACAACGTATGTAGCCATAGTAGCAATAGATCTAATTTGTAGTGTTTTACATCATTGATTTTTTTTCTTTCTCTATAGCGATAAAAGATGAACAAAGAGAAATTATATAAGACAATATCTCATTATATTTATGCATTGAAACCAAAACATTACAAATGTAGGCAATTTTAAGATCACTCAAACAAACTTGCTATTCAATAGCAACTATTTATTATTAGCTTCCACAAAAGCACACAAACACTTTTATTATAAGATTACTATATATAACTAAAATAATAGCTCAATCCTTCAACTTACTAATTTGAACAGGTTCAATTAGCACAGCACTTATTGTCTCTTTCATCATATGATCTGAATTTGTGTATAAGTCTTTGCCAAGGTAGATGAATTCATTAAATCGTGCAAGGTTAATCATAGGCCAAATCAAAGAAAACGGTAGCTTTCTTAGTGTGACAAATTCTTTGTTTATAATTTTCCACGCATCATTCGACATCTTTAATAGCTTCATGCATGCTTCTTCTTCAGAGCATTCATGTTCCATGACATAGCACTGAACAGCTGAAGCAACATCATTTCTCTTTTGTTCGACCTGAAACACAATTTCATTTGTAATATGAAGTGGATATTTTAGTATAAATTTATTGAAATGATGAAGTCATAATTTGCAATTTTATTACCTCATAAGAGACAACATCGTTCATTAGCCTGCCAATTATACAAGAAGCTTTAATGATCTCTGGGAAGCTTGTAACCCAATCAAATACATCTTTAGGGATGACCTCCTCCATGCCAATATAGGATGCACATGTGAGAAAAGAGTAGCCAGCAGTAATAAGTGTGACACTGAAGTGTTCTTCAAGCTTGGGTACATAAGACTTATTTGCCCATTTTGCTTCTTGAAGATATGCTTTTGCTACTAACTTCAACTGCATTTATAGGAATTTTGAAAAAAACAAAGATTAAAAATCATAAAAAGAAATATTTATTACTACTTTCTGGATTGTTATCTTTTAATCCGAAATAGTTAGCTTGTCTCTTTATAGAAATATTCTGCTTTCCAAGAAAAAAAAAAGCATGAATGCTTAGCTAAAATTATCTCAAGACAACAACATCCTTTGTTTTCCATGAGAAATTTAAACTATATATTTGAAACAAGTTTTGTTGAGATTGCACATAAATTGTGTAAACTACCTCATCTTTAAGATATTGCAAGCGAAAAGAATTTTGCTCTGGGGCAAGCTCAACTTCCATGTCCTTGAAGGTTTCAAGAATAGAGAGGAAGCAATGTTGCATATACTCTGGTAATTTACCTGCACATTCAGGTTCCCATCTGCAAGAATAAGAGAGCATGCAATCAAAATAGAAGAAATAAGTTTTTTGAGATAAGAAATGCACACACATATTTGTAGCATGTCCCCATCAACGATGAAGATATTCTTAAATTTTTTTAAAAGCTTTCAAAGAATTTTAGATGTTGGTAGAATGTAATATTTGAGTCAGAGAATCATTTTACCTTTGTATTGCATTAGTGAGCAAATGAAGCTCCTCCAATGTTCCATAAACATCATATATATCATCAAGAATGGACATTTGTGTTATGCACTTTGTCATCATAAATCTAGCACGCGAATAACATGGCTCAAAATATACAGAAAGCACCCAAAAATAGCACTCTATTAATCGATCACGGGAGAACGGTAGTCTCTTTGACAATCCTAAGTTTTTCCACCACCTGAATTAATATTATGTTAAGAATTCAAAGCACCTACATGATATATTTAATTTTGTGTTGTGAAATTGGGTGATATAGTTATGAAAAAACTGACATGGATAATTTTCGAGCTTCTTCTTGATGCATAGCTTGCAAATAAATGAAATCCATTTTCGCAAATTCCAAAATAACTTCATTGAAGTTGGCATCTTGCTCATATATTGAAATGTAGTTTTTGGTCTTTATCCTATCTGTTCTTTTGAATAGTGGTATTTCTATAGAATTTGACACCATCAAAGCAAAATGTTGTTCCAAGTTGTCTTTCATTTGCATGAGATGGGTCTTAGAAAAATTTATGGCTGTTTCAAGTATCTCTTCAGCAGGCATTGCAAGATGTGCAGATTCATATAAGCTTAACAAAGCCTTTGCATTAGAGCTAAAGCATTCCTTGAAGTCTCCCTTCTCATCCAAAAACTTGTTAAAGACATCTGAAGCATTAAAAAAATTATAAATACATGTTTATGCTAGTTTTTTTCTTTTCAAAAAATAATGAAAATTTACCTGTAGAAATATGATATCTTTGTTGCCTTAATAACCTAAATCGAAGAGCAATTGTGTATAGATCATTGTCATCACAAGGAGTCTTGAATAAAAGGCATAAGGATGCATCGATTTCCTTTTCAAAATGATAGCCCACTCCAAGTCGTTGGATTGTGTCAATCAACTCCATAATTTGCAGAGAATCTATTGTGTCGGTGAACATTTGGATTATCTCAACTTTTAGCTCCTCCATCCTAGGTTTTAGTGATGCCTTCCATGTTTATGTAAAAGAACATGATCAGTTAAAAATGAAAAACACATTATTTTAATTACAAACATTTGGAGTTTAAATATATAATATTGAAGATTTATTATAATATATTAATAGCCCACTTCAATCAACTCCATAGTTTGTAGAGAATCTAGAGAACTAGTAGTGTTGTTGAACATTTGGATTATCTCAACTAACTTGAGTTCATCCCTCCAATATTTTAGAGATGACTTCGCCTTCGTTTGGGACGGCTTTCTTACAACTTCTTAAAGCAGCTTTTTAGTACAAAAACTAAAGTATTTGTACTAAAAAATTGCTTTAAAAAACAGTAAGAAAATCATCCCAAACAAAACCTTCCATGTTTATTTAAATGAGCATGGTACAGATTTTGAAGTATTTGATTATATATACATGCATAAGTACTTATGCACGTATCGATATATATATATATATATATATATACCTGCTCAAGGCGTGAATCAGGATTATAAGAAAGGAAGTAATCTCCCCAAACACTTGGGTGATAATCTGCACTTCGGCGAACAGATTCAAAGGAAGGAGTAGGAAGAGAAAACTGGAGAGTCTCCATTTATCTTTCTCAAGGTAAGAAATGATCAGAAGAAGATGTAGAAGTTGTGTAGAAGATCTGCTTTGCTTGCTGCTGCTATTATAGTTTGAGAACTCTCAAAGTAATCTTCAATGTTTTGGTATGGCTTTTGCGTTAAAGAGATGGAGACAAAGTATGCATGCCCCTTAAATCATCAAGAATATCCGTCGTCCTCCTTATACCCTTGTTGTTCTTTATTTATTTAATAAGTTTTTCATGTGCATGATCTTTTGAATGATCTGATTGCAGATATATATAGTATGCATAGATAAGAAGAAAATATATATAATATACAAAACGAGATTGAAAAAAAAAACTTATTTTTCTAAAGAAGGTAGCTTTAATGGCAAGCAGTCTCATCCTCGATCTCTTTATCTCTCTTATTTAATAAAGCTTGTCATGTTATGTTACTTTCTCACGGAGTATATTGAGGAGAGATTCTTCTCTTTGAGTGAGGCAAGTTGGTTTTGATGTAGCTGATTCAGAGAAAATTTGCCTCTCATGCGATATTATGCGACACATCTTTGCTCGTAAGATACAGCAAGTTGTGTAGCCCATCCTATCTTCATGTTTAACAAAATAACTTATAATATATTTATGAACTATCTGTTCCTCCAATGCCCAAAATCCTAAGCTATTAAGATAAACGTGTATGATTAAGAAGTGAAGTATACAACTTCATCATAGCCAATGAAAAAAGTGGCGGAGCCAAAAAATATTAACTGAGGGGCACAAAATTTTGACTGTCAAAATACCCTCAAGTTTTTTCATTTTAGCTTGAAATGGAAATTATGGTTTCAATTATTATTATAATTACTATTAATTGTAAGAAGATAAATTTAATGATAATGAAAAAAAAAACTTATTGTCATGCCCATCTAAATTAATTTCAACACAAATTTATTTAAATTATATATTATCATGGTAAACTATTTCAATTACTCTTCTATCGTATATTTCATATCTAATTTAAATAAAAATATAACTTGTTGCGGGCTAGAATATACGTGGCGATAGAGTTAGAATACCACGTCTTAGCGTTGCACGAATATTTAGCTCACACACAGAAAACAAAAAATTTTTTATGTGAAAAGCCCTGAAAAAGGGAAAAACCACGGGGTCTAGCCCAGTTGAAAATGATTCCAATAGAATTTGAGTCGATTACAATGGACTGATTCGCCTTTGAGGGTGATCAGATTACAAGTAACAATGGTACAATAGAAATCCGGGTGTCAGGTGATAGTTTGACAGAGCTTCGGGCCTCAGATGATGGTCTGACGAAGGTGAAGGGCTCTGGCAGTGGTCCGGCAAAAGTGAAGGCCTCCGGCGGTGGTCCGGCGAAGATGAGGGATCCGACGAAGGTGAGGACCTCAGGTGGTGGTCCGGCGAAGGTGAGGACCTCCAGCGGTGATCAGGCTAAGGTGAGGGCCTCAGGTGGTGGTCCGGCGACGGTGAGGGCCTCCGGCGGTGATCCGGCAAAACTCCGGCGGTGGTCCGACGAGATTTAGGTGGTGGACCAGCAGTGGTCCGGCGAAACTCCGGTGGTGGTCGAGGAGGAGCATCTTCCTTCTCTTCCTTCTCTCTTCTCTTCTTCTCTCTCTTGCTTCGGTCCCTTTTTAAGAGAAATGAGGGGTCTATTTATAGATTTCTGGAGTGGCATAGCCCATAAATAAGTGAGAGATCAAAGGGTAAATGGGGAGTGGTTGGATGGACGGCCGATATTAAATCCCTTGATCATGGACCATTAATCAGGCATTTGGAGGCCTTAATAATTTTGGAATTCAGTGATCTTGGGCTCGTTGGATTTGTCTCATCGAGCTGCTCGATTTGACTATAAGCTCGTCATATTTAGAAACCGTCTGGTAACTCAAACAACAGTATGAAGCTTCCAACAGCGCTTCGGGTCCTTGATTTGGGCTCATTTGGGCTCGGATTGAGTCGAATTTGGTCTCGTTGTGTTCGTATTTCCTAGACGCTCAGTTTGACCATAAGTTTGTTGGAATCGGAGTTTAGGTGATGCCAGATTTAATTTTTGAAGTTTTCGGCTTGCTTTTGCCTTGAGATTAGTGCCCGATCAAGATAATTTTTTGATGACATATCATAACTATAAAATATTTTATAATGAGCAATAAATATATAAAAAATTGCATCTTATTATTATAAAAGTATATCAAAAATATATAAGAAATTATAATAAGCATATTTTAAGCTACATGATTTAAATATAAATATTATAATTCTCCTCTAATATAATTTATTGGTTTTAATTACATAAATCTCCTATTAACTAGAATTTGTGTTTTAATAATATTAAAAAATTTGATGAAATTTTTAATTAAAAAAAAAAGTAATTTGAAGATGGAGAGAAAAAATAGTCTCACTCATGGAGAGAAAGAGAGGGACGGAGAGAGAGATAGAAAAGAAGGAGAGATGGGGGCTAGTAGAGGAGGTTGCAATCTATAAAAATAAAATGACAAAGAAAAAGAAAGAGATAAAGAGAGAATAGAGATAATATATGTAGAAGAGAGATGAAAAGAGAGGATTACCGAGGGGGGGCTAAATCCACCCATACAATTTTAGAGAAAAAATAGTCTCACCCATGGAGAGAAAGAGAGAGACGGAGAGAGAGAAAGAAAAGAAGGAGAGATGGGAGCTAATAGAGGAGGTTGCAATCTATAAAAATAAAATGACAAAGAAAAAGAAAGAGAGAATAGAGATAATATATGTAGAAGAGAGATGAAAAGAGAGGATGATCGAGGGGGGGCTAAATCCACCCATACAATTTTCATACTCAATAGAATTAGCAAAAAAACATTCTGTTCCCAAACGAGCCCTTTTTTCTCTAACACTATATAAAAGTAAAGCACATTAGTATCAAAGAAAAATTCACTTAGTTTTTTGTTGTATTTCATTAGAATTTTACCCTTCGGTTGAAGTAATTACTTTTGGCATTAACATCACATTCATTGATTTTCTAATGTTCATGCCCATGCCTAATGTGGATCCAAGACTCAATGTTACTTACTTTGTGGTACCAACTCTGATTGATGAAGCTATTCTTGGCACCACTTATATTGCTTTTAGTCATCCTCAATATGGCTTTCACATTCTTTGATTTTATCCTTTTTCAATACCCTTCATGTAATTTTTGTTGTTCAATCAGAGCTTCCTTGAGACATTAGCAATTTTAATTATAGAATCTTGATGATGAATGTAACAATTTGATCGATACCCATTTTGGGGTGGTGTTCGAAGTCTTATGTGTGTAGTACAAAAATATGTATTCAAGGTTTTGATGGATTTGAGGCTAAAACTTTTAAACTTTGAAAGGATAAATTTTTCTTAGAGTTAAAAGGTGATAAACTTCATATGAAAGGAATAGAATTTTAGGGAACTAAATGGTGTTATTTTGATAGATTTTGGATTAATAGGTAATGAGTTATAGATTTTTAATTGTTGTGAGGAATTTTAAAGGGGCTAAAGTTGTGTCCGGGTTGAAGGAGGTTGTGATTTAGAGTTGTCAAAGCCTATACATATGAGAGGAGATTTGTGTTGGCAGCAAGGAGTAAGAGTTGCAATTAAATAGATATCTAAGGACTCATCAAAGTTCTAGAAGATGATCAGCGATAAAGCTTTATCAAAAAGCAAACAATCCATCAATCTTTTCTACATCAAATTTACACAAGTAAAAAAAGAAAATTTTTATTCAATTTAAATAAAAAAAAGATGGTAAAATCTTATTTATAAACATTTTCAACCTTAACTAAGTTTAGAAAATCTTGTAAGCCAACAAACTACTATTATATGCATTGATAGCTTATTCTAATATAAAGAGAAATAAAATAAATACAATTTTATACAATTTTATAAAGATTCTATAAGCAAGAAAACTTAGCCATGCCAAATAAAGTAGGTGGAGTGGCATGAAATCAAGCAATCTTTTCATTCTTCGAGACAAATTAGGCTTTCTCGTCATTCTACAATGTATCACGTCAGCGATTGCCATGATGACGATGGCTCCAGCTATGCGGCAGTTCTTGATGTCGTTGAAGCCATTGGCTTTGGAGATAGGAGCTTTGCGGTAGTTCTTGATGTCTCCTGTAACAACTTTACGGGCAAGTCTGCCGGAGATTTCAGCGATCAAGGCCAATGGCTCCAACGGTGGTTCATTTAATGCATTGCATTATCTCCTGTATGGTTCCATTTCTTCTTAATTTGCAATCCTTCTTTCTACTTTTAATTATGCGGATAATTACTTGCAAGGTTATGTGCCTTACAATGGTGCTAGAAGAAGGAGGCAACGAACCCATGTGTTCGTGGAGTGAGCGGAAGCATGTGCTCCACTGCCCCTGAAGGAGCCAATGAACCCATCTCCGGGGAGTTTTGGAAAAATGGGAGTCATGTGGTCGTGGGGTGAGCGGGAGCAAGCAATCAATGTGCATGTGTGATCCAACGAATCCATCTCGGGCAGAAGGATCTCAGCATCAACAGATTCGGGAAGCTACAATAAGCTGTAGATTGAAACCTGTAGCATAAACGTTAGAGCAAAGCAGAGAAAAGCTGAGAGAAGAGTTTTGGAATACTATATGATTTTCTCATTAGACTTATTGCTACAGCTGCAAAATGGCGTGGTGGAGGCACTTAGTGCTGAAGCAGGCGGCGAGACAGAGCAGTAATAGAGTAATAGCAGCTTTCAGTTCGACTTATCAGGAGTCATACATGGCTCATAATGAGATTGGGCATCTCCTTGAACCGCAATAGGCAATGGAGCTCCGGCGATGAAGGTGATAGGTCAATCTCGATGTCCTCCACCAGCATCTCCCCGGACCGATAATAATTTTCGGTAACTTCCCGTCGTCGTCTGGCTGGGAACGAAAGGAAGACGATGCGAGGCGGATTTCTGACGGCGTTTAGACGGAGTAGTAGAATTGAAGAAAATGAGAGTTTGAGGTGGTATATGAGTAAATATAATAGTTTGAGTGTTGAATATGTATTTTGAATAGTTTCAAGTGTTATGTATGTAAAAATCCCATAAAAAAGGATGGTAAAATCTTATTTATAAACATTTTCAACCTTAACTAAGTTTAGAAAATCTTGTAAGCCAATAAACTACTATTATATGCATTGATAGCTTATTCTAATATAAAGAGAAATAAAATAAATACAAATTTATACAATTTTATAAAGCTTCTATAAGCAAGAAAACTTAGCCATGTCAAATAAAGTAGGTGGAGTGGCATGAAATCAAGCAATCTTTTCATTCTTCGAGACAAATTAGGCTTTCTCGTCATTCTACAATGTATCATCCATGTGTTTGCTTGAAGAATTGTGCATGATTGAATAGGCTAAATCTTGACGTGTGACATTGTCCCTAGCCATTATATCAGTTATGCATCAACTTTTTTAGGCCTCAAAGAACTTTGATTTGCACAAGTATTTATCCACTAGTTCAGGAGTAAGCTTACTCATGTTTATTTTGGGCATCCAATTGTCTTCAAAAGGAGGTTTTTTTTTTTGTCAATTTTAGAATATGGGTAATATTTCTACTTGTGAGGAAAGTTCTTTTGAAAAAAAAAATAGGAACCTACAAAATTTGACTTATGCCTCCTGCAATGATGTTATCTTGCAAATTCTGAGACTGAATAATTCTTCATTAAGATGGTATATCATTACTATTAACAATAATGTCTATGTATATATAAAAGCATCCTCCACATGTGTTAAGCAACCGCTTGACCATGGCGGACAAGTGGAGCAAACACTCTGATTCATCTCAAACAGGAACCATTAGATGATAACTAACACAATCAATCACTACCCTATACATGTAAAGAACTATAAAACTTACACACATACCTATACACATCCAAGGCTACAATATTGTATGTAAGAAAACCTTTACACATAAATGATATAATATGTGCTTTATAGTTTGTTATCTCTGTATTATTCTTCTTCCCACACCGATGATATATCTTCAAATGGCATCTCAGAAAACCTCACCATTCCCTCCCCCCTGAAATTTCTCAACTCCAATATCAAAATCATTGTACCCATACAACTCTCAAATGATAACTACCCCATATGGAGATCCCAAATCTTGAAGCTCTTCTATGCCAACAGCTATGCTAACTTCCTCAACCGCACTGTAGCATTGCCCACTCGTCTTGTAGTCAACTCCGAAGACACCTCCAAACCAAATCAAGCCTACAGTCGATGGAAACTCATTGACTAGAACCTCGCTGTTGCCATATATTCCACTCTTTCATCCAGTATCCCTCCATAAGTCATCAATTTAGAGACATGTGTTGACATCTGGACCATGCTGTAACATCACCTACAAGCTACCAATCACTCCAGAGTCATACAGCAAGAATGAGTTACACTTCTCCATGGGTCAACTCACTATGCTTCATTACCTCACAAATATCAAAACTATGGTTGACAACATCACTACAGTCGGCTCTACCATTAACAATAAACATATTCTCAAATACACACTCAACGGCCTTCCCCCATAGTATCTAGCCTTCAAAACTTTCATCCAAACCAAATTGATGCCAAACAGCCTAGAGAACCTCTATTCTCTCCTCATAAGAGAAGAAATCAACATATCCCCCGAATTTGCTCGAGCATCAGCACCCCCAAATATTCACTCTACCTTCTACTCCAACAAAGTCCTTGGACGCGGGCGTGAACAATTCTACATCAAATTTACATAAGCTAAAAAGATAAATTTTATTCAATTTAAATTAAAAAGATAAAGCAAAATCCTATTTATAGACATTTTCCAACCCTAACTAAGTTTAGAAAATCATTTGAGCCAGTAAACTACTATTATATGGATTGATAGCTTATCCTAATATAAAGAGCAATAAAATTTAATAAAGCTTTTATAAGCAAGAAAACTTAGCCATGCCAAACAAAGTAGGTAGAGTAGCCCGAAATCAAGCAACATTTCCATCCTTCGAGACAAATTAGGCTTTTTCATCATTCTACAATGCATCATACATGTGCTTGCTTAAAGAGTTGTGCATGATGAATAGACCAAATCTTGACGTGTGACATTGTCCTTGGCCATTATATTGATTATGCATCCACTTTCTTAGACCTTAAAGAGCTTTAATTTATGTAAGTATCACCCACCAGTTCAAGGTAAGCAAGTTTGTTTTGGTCATGCAAGTGACTTCAAAATGAGGTTAATTTTATCTATCAAATGCGTATAATAGCGAGGAAAGTTCTTCTGAAAAACTTGAGGAACTTACAAAATTTGACTTATGTCTCCTGTAATGAGGTTATCTTGCAAATTCTAGGACTAAATAATTCTTCATTAAGATGGTGTATCGTTAATATTAAAAATAAGTCGTAAGTATATATTAGAAGGCGATTTAAGGAGATCGAAAATCATTACTATATTTGGTGTAATATAAATTGTCTCGAGTTGCTATTATGAAATCTTAGCTAATAGGTTGAATGGCTTGAATGTACATTCTACTTGGCTGTTGGGATGGAATGCAACTATCAGCCTATTCAATACCTTATAATTGCTCCACTTCAACATTTATGGTCTAGTGTTGTAACTCATTATCATTTAATTGGTGTTGTGGGGATTAATTGTAACCGCTCAGAATCAAATTTGAAAGAATTGTTTATTTTTCATTTTAAAAATATACCAGAGCTTTTATAAAATATCAATATAAATAATAACCAGTGAAAGCAACTAAAATCATATACATCAAGATATTTTGCTATTTATTCACATAAAATGTTATTTATGCTAACAAGGAGATCAAAATCATTTAAAAAATTGGATTATTACATTAATGGTGTTTCTAACCTAATCTATGTTGAAGACATGAAGGCCGATTAGGTTCTATAAATGTTCAAACGATGTTGGCGAAATATTTAGCGGTCGATTTAACTACAAACATAGGTTATCATAAATTTGTCCAATGTTATTGATTAACCATCAATAGGCAACATCAAACTAAACAAATGGGAGAAATATTTTTTAAAAAAATGAGAATGCTATTGCCTATGATTAAAGTGGTGACGACTTTTCAACACGGTATTTTGTCGTTGCTTAAAGCGGCAACAATGCCACTTTTAATTTTGCTTTCTTCTAACAAAAAAATTAGGGATTCTTAAAAATTTCACCATGTAATCCCACTTTCAAACATTATTATATTTATTTTTATTATACATAATAATTTGACCTTATTATACTATTTTATTTTCATTTTTAAACATACACTCTATTTTTGAAAAAAAAAACCTTCCATATATATTATTCAACTCAAATAAGCACACTCTATAGCCTTTCTCTTTTCTCGAAGAGAAATATGTTTTTTTTTTTTTGAGAAAAAAGTCAACATCTAATTTTTATGAATAATCAAAATAGTTTAGGTTATACAAAAATATCAATCCGTTCCCTTGATTATTTAAAAAAGTTATAGAATTAAAATAATATTTTTAAATAGTCGGGATCATTTTTATTTTTGAAATAGTTGAGATCTTTTTTATTTCTAATGCTACACCTTTATTTTTTATAATTTTTTAATTCTTTTAGGAAATAATTATAAAATTAAGAAAAAGGGCAGCCTTAGCTTAGTTATTATCTTTTTTTATTTACATACATGCCATTTTATATCATGTTATTTATATATCTAATTCCTAAAACTTTAATATTTTATGTCTATCACTCGTAGACAATTTTAATATCAAATATGTCACACCTATATTTTATTCATATCACTTATATCATCCTATACCATTTTATATCATGCTATTTATATATATAATTCCTAAAACTTTAATATTTTATGTCTATCACTTGTAAACAATTTTAATATCAAATATATTACTTCTATATTTTATTTCTATCATTCTATAAATTTTAATAATTAATTCTTTGTATTTATATTTAATTTATGAGTGATAATTATAAATTATTAAAATTTTAAATGTTAAATATGTAAATAGAGTGATACTTATGTAATTTTATTTATTTATTTTGCGTACCTAATAATTTCATAATTTCTCGCGGGGAGAAACTAGATACTGGCACGCAGCCACCGCTTCTATCTGTATATTCTTTAGCCTCTTCTCCCTGGTTCGCGAGCACGCTTTGCCAGCTTCTCTTTTGAAAAGAAACTCAAATTCCTTATTTTCTTCTTTATTTGAGCTGTTTTGTAGAAAAAGATCATCGCTGTTGTTCTTAACCCTAATTTTATTAAAAATTCGTCGACTTCACTTGGAGAAATACAGTTCGCCAAGAAACGACTTCAAGGTGAATAAATAGGCTCATTCCATCAGTATTGTGCAGCGGATTCTACTTTCCCTTTCTCCTTCTGTGCTTTCTTGTTCTGGTATCTGGTGGAGTGCTGGAAATTACAGAATAGGGTTCTGACTCTCTGAATATTTAGGGTCGTAAGACCGATATTTTCTTTTGATGAAGGAAAAGAAAACTCCAGATTAGATTGCTTTCCTGAGTTCTTGATAAGCTTAGTATGAGAATTTTGTCTTTGCTGCTTTCGACTGGAAGTATCTTAAGTTTATTGAATCCTACAATAGTCATAAGCGGACTTTTTCTGAGAAACATGCCTTTGTTGATTCGAATAAAAGTTTATTGCATGTTATTTTGGGTGAGACATCTGCATTGTAATTTTAGGCATAAGCTGTTGTCTTATTATCATTTTTGGAATTTGATTTCATGATTGGATATCAGCATGTTTCTATTATATTCTATCTTTACTGCAATTTGCTTGTTATACAATATAGATACTTTTATTTTGTTCAATATCTTGAATTCTATGTTGCTGCAATCTTATGGTGTTAGGTGTATTAAAACTGATGAGTGATAATTTTTTTTGTGGCTGGTTATTATGTACATCCATGATCAATCGGGTTAGGTTAATTAAGTTAGAATGCAACCTTGAATTCATTTTAAACTTGAAATAACTCAAGACCTTGCACTCATGTTGGGCTTGAAGTTGCCAAAGACCTTGAAGTCGCCAAATGCCTTGAAAAGACTTAGGCTTGAAGTCACTAAAGACTTTGAACTTGTTGAGACTTGAAATTATCTTAAGCGTAGAAATTGCCATAGATCCTAATTCCTAAACTCATCTCAGCCTTGAAGTCGCCAAATACACTGAACTCATCTCAGACTTAAAGTCACCAAGGATCCTAAACTTATCCATTTAACTCAGCCAATAAACTCGACACCTCCTAGGGCACTCAGCATCTCATTTTAGTGTCTAACAAGACTTTAGGGAACTCAGTACCTCCTTGTAATGCTTGACTCGAGCAACTCCTTCATTTAAGATGTCTTTTAAGTGTGGATTTGATTACCTCATTCATAAACTATAATATATAGAATTTTTCATCCATATGATTAAACCTATTTTCATTGCAATCTTATGATTTCTATCATTCATGCTAAACTCTAACTATTCATATATCCTTCCATCAAAAGTAGAGGGATGTCTCTTAAAGATACTTAATTTTCATAATAATGGGCCTTTGAAATTAATTTAATGAAATGCCTCCTTATATGTGTTGTAGTAGAACACCGCACTTGAGAACCTTGAAATGTTGCATTTCCTACTAGGATCATGTTTATGACATAGATATTGTCGGCATATCGCATATTCGTCAAGAAACTGATAAAACCTAGATAGATTAAAGGGTTTGTCGTTTCCAACCCCGGATGCCATTATGAAAAACAATACTGAAAAAGCAAGAAACAAGCAATCCCTATCACAAGTAAATACAAATAGATGGGACGATCTCGTGCACAACTATTGTGAAATCTAATCAAGAGAAGTGTTCTAAAAATTTGTGTAGATTTTTCTTGCTTGAAACTGAATTTTTTTTAAAAAATACTCAATCATGCACTTGTCTTATTTTTTAAAAAACAAAATTAATGACTTTTAGCATTTTTGCATTGAGCATATGATTTAGGAATTTGACGCAAGAATTATGAATATCATTTTGTTGGAAACACCAAAACTCTCTTGGGTAACTCATCCATAAGGACTCGAGAAACTCATGCCACAAGGACTTGTGGAACTTATTTTGTAATGACTCAAAGAACTTTCCCAACAAAACTTGGGGAACTTGTCTACAAAATTTAACAAATTGATCAAAAATAGTTTAGCAAATTTTCTTGAGAATTTTCAAAAGATTAATCATGAAATAAACTTACCTTTTTTCAATTTGAAGTTGTCTAAACATTAAATTTAAAACTTAAAATGTTGATAACTAACTAAAATTTGGAAAAAACATAAATCCTGAATGCATGCTCTATTAGTTAAGTAAGAGATAAACTAACTTAAGGATCAAAGTGCTCTTAACTCAGGATCAAATTTAAAAATTATGAGTTACATCAGAGCTATGACCTTATGTAGACAGACAATTTCCACCTAACAAAGTTTCTAATAGGAAACACTTGTAAATCTCAAGTAATTCCTATCAATCTTTGGAAACAGCGAGAATTTTCCACAAAAAATCACACAAAACTAGGAAAACAGTAGATCATTTGTATTATTTGATGAAATGGAAATGGAAATACCAAAATATAATTGATTCTCTATTTGAGAGGACCTATCTCTCCCAATCCTCTAGATGCCGATAGAGCCCAAAACCTAAGAGAGATCTCAAATTTCAGCCAAATTCATGATGCCCTAACCCTAGCATAACATACTACTTAATACATAAGATTCAAAATAAAATCTCTAAACAGCCCCTACTTTGAAATTTCCCTCCTAAATCCCTATAAAACCTTTCCCAATTACTTCTGCCAATTAGACGGAGCATGTGGCTCTTCTGCGTCCGCTTCTGTTACATGAGCTGGTCCCGTATGGACTGGTTGGACCAGTTCAGAGACCGGTCTAATAATACCAGCCTCCCAAAGACCCACATTGTCTGCAAGATGGAAAGATGTCACGCTCTTCAGCTTCCTCATCATCACAAACGGTGAGAACCTGAAGAGTTCAATCCTTGCATCTGTGTCCTGGTGTATACCTCTCCTTACCAATGTTTAAAATTGCATAGTCGGGTATTGAGGCGTTTTTCATTCGTGAGGCGAGACGTAAGCCTCAAGGCATTTTGAGGCGTAAGCCTCAAAATCAAAATATTGCGTAAATATAAAATGATAAATTTGTTATATACTAATGAGTGAATAATATAAAACATAAAAAAACATAAGATATGAAGTGAAATCAATATATCTCAATAATAAGACAACATGAAATATAGTTCAACTCAAAATTCTATCTTTCCGAAATCCCAGTATTCTTTTCCCTTTGCCCTCTTTTCCTGTAACTTCATTTCTGTGAGCTTCTTGAAGTTATTTTCGGGTCTTCTAACTACTGCCTTCTCTTTGGTGTTTCCCAAAGAGTACCCGATGTCGGCTCCTTGGGTGCCAAAAAGGTGGTGGTCATCATGTACGAGTCTCCTGAGTTGCTGCCTCCTATCTCTCTCTCGGTGCCTCTAATCCCCCACTAATTGGGCTAGCTCCAGCCTCTCCCAAGTCACAAGGCCTCATTAATCTAATCGATGCCCGAATATCTGGTGTCAGTCCCTTCATGAAGTTCCCCTCTAGCACTGTCTCGGAAAGGCGGTCCAATGGTTAGCAAGGTACTCGAACCTCTCCCGATACTCTATCACTAAGCCATCATGTGTCAAGGTGAAGAATTGCTTATATAAGTCTTCTTCCCTACCGGTTCGGAAACGTTCTATCAAACAATCCTTGAACTCCCTCCAACTCCATATGGGTCATCGCATGTCTCTCCATTGATATCAAGCTAAAGCCTTCCTTTCCAAACATATGCCCGCTGCCACCAGTCTCTCCTCCTTTGTCAACCCAATGACGACAAAATTTCTTTCAACCTTGTAAATTCACCCATGCGCATCCTCCCCCTTAAAGATTGGCATCTTTAGTTTCTGATTTAAGTTTTCTATATTGGATATCAAAGGAGAGTGGAGTTAGTAAGATGTCAGTGGTATGATAGTCTGAAATGTTTAAGTGCATGAGGAGATATTTTCAAAATTAAGTTGAAGCTGTTTGAAAAGATTTAAGCTAAGTACATGATGTAGGCAAGGAGGGGGTCAAAATAAGTTGAGTTGATATTTTTGTAAGCTTCTACTTAAGTTCATCTCATTAATGGTTCTATACTTAAGCTCAGCTCATTATATTGTTTAGTTAGCTTTTTAGCTCATTAAAGTTGAGGTCCAAGTTCTTCCCCTTTTGGTTTCCTATTTCTCTTCCTCTTCTTGTGCCTCCTCGTTTTTTCCCTTGTGCTATTCCTGTGGCTGATTGCTGGGTATTGGTTCCGGTTCCCTGGGTTGCCTTCTCGGTTTCCTCCCTGGCTACTTTTCCGTGTATGCCTTTACCCGGTTCCTGTGCTGCCTTTTTGGTGATGTTCTGCCTCCCCTGGCTGCTGTTTCGTGACTGTTTTTTCCTAGTTTATGTGTGACTTTTTTGGAAGTTATTTTGGATTAATTGCAAGGCTGTTTGGGAGCTGTTTTGGATTAATTGCAAGGCTGTTTGGATGCTGTTTTGGACTATTTCTGGACAAAAATCTAGACTGAACTTTTGGACTTCCATTTCCCCCTTTTAATAGGTTTAATTAGAGATAATTGAGGCTGTTTGGCTTCCCTCTTTTATCCTATAAATATAAGGTGTCTGGGCAAAGTTAAAGAGAGTTTATGGTGATAATTTTTGGAAGAAACCCTTGGGTTTTGTTTGATAGCTTGCGAGCTATATATTTCCTTCTCCTTCTTCTAGGATAACTTGCGAGTTATGCATTCTTCGTCTCAGCTTTTAATCTCCTTCCTCTCTCTGCAAGTTCGACGTCACTTGTATCATTCTTCTCAAAGCAAATGAGATGCAAGTTTAGGTTTTTATTATATAAGTTTGTTTGTGTCGTTTGTAAGCGTCAAAGTTTGTAAGTCCTTTTATATTATAAAAGTGAAGTTGTCTATTGTTTTTGGAGTATTTTGTGTTTCTTTTATTCCCTAGGAAGTTTCTTTTATTTGCTTGCAAAAATTTGGGGTTTTTCCAAATTTTTGCTTGCATCAATTTGGTATCATATCAAGTTAGTATATCCTAGGTTATTGAGTCGTGTTGTTATTTGAGTCTCGGTGTCATAAGAGTTTTAAATTTTTTTTTTTTTTAGTCATGAGTCATAGTTCATATAATCAGCCTTCGAAAGCCTCAGGACAAGATTCAAAGCAAACTCAAGTTTCATCAGGAGATGAACAATTTCAACCGGAGGAGAATTGATGTAGGCAAGCTTTGGTTGCTTGCTGTCTCTCGCTTTGGGATGCTTGTTGTGATGTGAATCAATGTAGGAATTGTATTTGGAAAGTAAAATTGAAAGTTATTTAAAGCTTGTCAAAACAAATTTTATTACCAATAAAATGAAGGTTTAAATTATTCTAGGTAATTAACTCGCTTAGGCGAAGATTTGCTTTTAGATAACCAAACAATTCATAACAATCCAAAATAAAAGATCTACTTAATTGCTCATAACAATAATCCCACAATTAATAATGAAGAATTTCACCTTGAGCACCCTCTCACTCGTTCACTTGGGGGCTTTAGCGGAGAAGAAAGAACCATGCCAAGTAGAGAGAGAAAAGGTGAGGAGAGGATGGCCGGCCAAGCAAGAGAAGAAAAGAGGGATTTTGATTAATTGGTGGGCCCCATGAATTTAATTAAAATCTGAGATTTTAATTTCAGAATTTTAATTAATTAGGGAAGTTACAAAGAAGGTGGGAGGGAATTTGAATTTGAATTAGGTAAGTAATGCTCAATCAATAGCTCCCTAATTTAAGGGGGCAAATTAGGAAAGCAATAATAGGAAATTGATGGCTGAATTCAAATCCCTCCAAGCCTTGAATCCGGCGGGATTGGCCAGGGAAGGGGAGAGGTCGGGTTGCTGGATGAGGGGGAGGGGACGGCGGCTGTACTGGGGCCGGCGGCTGGCCCAGCCGGCGGCAAGAGGGGGTCGGGTAGGGGAGTTCGGCGGTTCAGGAGGGGATGGGAGGGACGGCTGCAGAGAAAATTGAAGGGGGAAGAGGGGCGGGTTAGGGTGAGTGGAACGGGGTGGGGAGGAAGGAAAAACAGCGAATAAACACGATAAAACTAAGAGCTCACCGTAGTGGGCTGTTAGGTGTTTCGGGTGGAGCCCCCCCTAGGCCTCCTCTCTTTCTCTCAAGCTCCCAAGCAAGAAGACAAAGATAAATTTCAGAAATTTCATTCATCAAACATTAACATTACAATAAGAGGAGACCACTATATAAAGGTCTCAAAGCATGAAAATAAAAGACTCACATGCCCATTGGGCTACAACAAACACTACGCCTTCGTAAGGGCAAAGTAGTCACTAGTGCACGAAATAAAAGATACATCAAATGACATAGAAAAAAATAACATAAAATGACATGTCACATCAGAAATATAAACTCCCAATCGTAGCCGTCGATCTACAATTCCTTCGCCGATAAACCTGCCTAAAATGTCTGTCGATGACCTCATCATGTTGCCTCTCGGTTTGTGCCTTGGCTGCTTTCCCGTGGCTTCTCTTACCCGGTTTCTGTGTTCGCTTTTCGGGTTCCTCCCTGGCTGCTTTGTCGTGGCTTCTCTTACCCGGTTTCTATGATGGCTTTTCAGGTTCCTCCCTGGTTGCTTTCCCGTGATTCTTCTACTCAGTTCTTGTGCTATCTTTGGGAGTTGTTTTGTGATAACTGATGCCCTTCCTCTTCCCCTTACCTGATTGGTTTGGTTGGAGGTAGAAGGTGGTTGTTTGGCTCCCCTTTCTCTCCTATAAATATAAGACATTTTGTAAGCAAAAAAGAGAGTTTTTAGTAAGTTATGTGACTGGTTTTTGGAGCCTAAACCTGCGGGTTTCTTCGTGGAAAAGCTTGCGAGCTTGTTCAATTCCTCTCTTCTTCTAGGAAAACTTGCAAGCTTCTCCTCCTTCGTCTCAGCTCCTTATCTCTTTCGTCTCTCTGCAAGTTTCCTTTCACTTGTATCATTCTTCTCAAGCAAGGAAATGCAACTTTAGATCTTTATTTTAAGTGTGTAAGCGTCGTTTGTAAGCGTCAAGAGTTGTAAGAGCCGTTTTATATTATAAAAAGTGTCTTTTTGGAGTATTTTGTGTTTCTTTTATTCCCTAGGAATTTTCTTTTATTAGCTTGCAAAATTAGGGGATTTTCCAAATTGATGCATGCAAAAATTTGAAAAAACCCCAAATTTTTGCAAGCAAATAAAAGAAACTTTCTAGGGAATAAAAGAAACACAAAATACTCCAAAAACAATAGACAACTTCACTTTTATAATATAAAAGGACTTACAAATTTTGACGCTTACAAACGATACAAACAAACTTATATAATAAAAACCTAAACTTGCTTTTCATTTGCTTTGAGAAGAATGATACAAGTGGCGTCGAACTTGCGGGGAGAGGGAGATTAGAAGCCGAGACGAAGAAGGCATAACTCGCAAGTTATCCTAGAAGAAGGAGAAGGGAATACATAGCTCGCAAGCTATCAAACAAAACCCAAAGGTTTTCTTTCAAAAATTATCACCATAAACTCTCGTTAACTTTGCCCAAACACCTTATATTTATAGGAGAAAAGAGGGCAGCCAAACAGTCTAAATTATCTCCAATTAAACCTATTAAAAGGGGGAAATGGAAGTCCAAAAGTTCAGTCTAGATTTCTGTCCATAAACCAGTCCAAAACAGCACCCAAACAGCCTTGCAATTAATCCAAAACAGCTCCCAAACAGCCTTGCAATTAATCCAAAACAACTCCCAAAATGCCACACAGAAACTAGGAAAAAACAGTCACAGAACAACAGCCAGGGGAGCAGAACAGCACCAAAAGGCAGCACAGGAATCGGGTAAAGGCAGACACGGGAAAGCATCCAGGGAGAAAACCGAGAAGGCAACATAGGGAACCGGAACCAGCACCCAGCAATCAGCCACGGGAACAACACAATGGAAAAAATGAAGAGACACAAGAAGGGAAAGAGTAATAGGAAACCAAAGGGGGAAGAACCTGGGCCTCAACTTTAATGAGCTAAAAAAGCTAACTAAACAATATAATGAGCTGAACTTAAGTAGAGAACCATTAATGAGCTGAACTTCAGTAGAAGCTTACAAAAATATCAACTCAACTTATTTTGACCCCCCTTCCCTACATCAATTCTCCTCCGGTTGAAAAATCTCATCACCTGATGAGATTGCTTTAGGTTTCTTCCGACAAGGCAAAGGAGGTGCATCAATCTCTTGAATTTTTTGTTTCATACCTTTTCAAAATTTCTTCTCGTTCTTATTTGAATTGATCTTGTAGAAATTTCTTTTTCTTCAAATATTGCTCCGTACACATATGCATCCTCATCTGTAGCTTGTATAGTTTATTATGTAGGAGATCTGTTGAATCACCTTCTGATGGAGCCCATCTATCCATTGGTACTTGGACTTTAGAAGCTTCTGGATTACTTTCTTCCACGATTGATTCAATCTTTTTGTGATTTTTCATTTTTTTCTAAACAAAGAAAAGAAGACTTAACAAAACTTAAAACTCACTTGACACTCACATACATGACACCAAGACACACATGATAACCATGCTCTGATACCAAATTGATGTAAGCAAAAAATTAGAAAGACTCTAATTTTTTGCAAGCAAGAGAGACAACTTCGTAGGATATAAAAAAGATAAAGAGAGTTTATGGTGATAATTTTTGGAAGAAAACTTTTGGGTTTTGTTTGATAGCTTGCGAGCTATGTATTCCCTTCTCCTTCTTCTAGGATAACTTGCGAGTTATGCCTTCTTCGTCTCGGCTTCTAATCACCTTCCTCTCTCCGCAACCTCGACGCCACTTGTATCATTCTTCTCAAAGCAAATGAAATGCAAGTTTAGGTTTTTATTATATAAGTTTGTTTGTGTCGTTTGTAAGCATCAAAGTTTGTAGTCCTTTTATTTTATAAAAGTGAAGTTGTTTTTGGTTTAAGTGTCATTTTATGTTGTAGTTTGAGTATTTCATGTAATTTTTTTTATATCCTAGGAAGTTGTCTCTCTTGCTTGCAAAAAATAAGAGTTATTCTAATTTTTTGCTTGCATCAGTACAACGACTTGACTTACGAATTGTCATCTTTTTTTTTTTTTGGCAATAGGCTTGTAGAATCAAAACATATATATTGGAGAAAAAGGTGACCAAATTGTTGTATCTATGAAGCCAAATTTCCTCTTGATAAAATTGTCTTAAGATATGGATGGATCTCCGTTTTAAATGCAGATATTTAACTATTCCATTTTGTAGGCTGTGAGAAGATTTTGGAGACTAGTATTAATATAAAAATCTTGAAGATATCATACTATCAATTTTAAGATGGCTTATAACTAATTCTAGAAATTTTTTTAGTCGCTATAAATAGTCTTAGGAGGGAAGGGTTTGGCATCCCACGCAATGACAATCATATAAAGAAAAGAGGAATGAAAAAAGGGAAAGGGGTTGCTAACCGAGAGAACAAAGGGATGAATTACTTAGATGCTTGCAAGAGGGAGGTCTTCCACTTCTTCATGGAGGCACTGTTTGTCTTTGTTTCATAAAGGGAGAAACTTTCGACCATAGTATGAGAATCTTTTATTTGGTTTCCTAGAAAGGTAGAGAGTAATTGTAGCAACAACATCTTCTTTATATCTTGCTCTTATCTTTGTTGCAAATGGTTATATTCCCTCTCATTCGTTGATATAAATTAAATGATATTTCTATTCTTATCTTTATATTTATATGAACTATATATATTCTCTTCTTGTACCACTTCAAAAATTTATGAATGATTCGATCTCTATCTAGCCGTGGATATAGGTGGATTCCACTGAACTATTTAAATTTGTGCACTCTTAGTTGTGTTTTTTTTTTAATTGATTTTACATTTTACATGTTTTGCTTGCCACTATTTTTTTCCAAGTTTTATTTAAAAGAACTACATATAAGTTGCTTTTCTGACTATGGACAATTGGTGCTTTAATGATTGTTTTAACATTGCTTCTTCACCAAAGAGGGCAATGGCTGGACAATTTTCGGTTTCTGAGTCATCCGAATCATTCGAGTACATGCTATTTGAGGGTGATCCAGATCATCTAAAGCCTGTTATGTTAAAGTCGGATCAGATCAGCCCTTGGATCAATCCAGATATGCTAAAGCTTGGGCACCGTATAGGACGAGGTCCTTTTGGTGATGTTTGGCTTGCAGCCCATCATCACTGCTCTGAAGATTATGATCGATTTCATGAAGTTGCTGTGAAGATGTTGTATCCTATTAAAGATGATTTTATTCAATTATTTATCAGCAAGTTTGAGACTATATTCTCCAAGTGTCAAGGATTAGAAAATGTTTGCCTTCTACATGGTATTTCAATTCTGAATGGAAGGGTATGCTGGTTTATTTATTAGTGGATTTTGCTATGATTATTATCTACATAGCATATCCTTTTGATAAAGGAACTTGATAATGATCGAAGAAAACTCGTGAATGTGGCTTGCCTTTTTTTATCAGGTCTGCATTGTTATGAAGTTCCATGAGGGATCTATTGGTGATAAGATAGCTCTTGCTAAAGGCGGAAAGCTTTCACTACCAAATGTTCTAAGGTGCTTATCGTAAACATTTCTTAATCAAGAATTTTCATGGTCAATTTATGCATTCTACTCATTCTATTTCTATTGAGGGTGATCCTAAGTTTGAGTCATGTAAACTACCTCTACAAATGTAGAGATAATGAGTCTGCATAAAATAATCTCTCCCCAGATCCTGTATTTACTAGAGCTTCATGCTCTTGTTTTTACTAATCCTATTTCTATTAAAGGTATGGTGTTGAGCTTGCTCAGGGCATATCTGAAATCCACTCCAGAGGAATATTGGTTCTTAATCTTAAACCTTGTAACTTTCTTCTTGATGGAAATGACCATGCAATCATAGGTGAATTTGGAATTCCATTCTTACTTATTGAAATCTCGTTACCAATTTCGGATCTTGTACGGAGGCCCGGAATTCCACACTACTTGGCTCCTGAACAGTGGCAACCAAGCATAAGGGGTCCAGTTTCCTTCGAGACTGATTCATGGGGTTTGGGATGTAGCATTGTGGAAATGTTGAGTGGATATCAGCCTTGGCAAGGTAAATCTGCTGATGAAATATATAACTTGGTTGTTAAAAAGCAAGTGAAGCCAAATATTCCAAGTGGATTACCTCCTGAGATTAAAAATGTTCTTTATGGATGCTTTGAATATGACCTCAGAAATCGTCCTCTAATGACTGATATACTGGATGCCTTTAAAAGGTAACTGTTAAGTATTTATTTTTTTTTCCCCAATAATTTTAGCTTACCTGTGAAGCCATTCAAGTAAGTGTTGTATTCACCGCTCTTAGTTCTATGTTTAAATTTTTATTGTGTGTAGTCTGCGGTTTATCAAAAGCTAAGCTTGTGGTAAGAAAGTCCACCATTAAATGAAATAAATTTCTGATTTATAAAATTAGTTGTAACCGAATGTCTGTGTCATCATCTTCATCGCATTAACCTTTATCCCATTGAGTGTTACATGTTAAACTTTGTTTATTTATGTTTTTTGTTTGCGTGAATTTTAATTAAATATCCTTTAGTTTACTCCTTTTTATTTCTAATTCCTCTTATGTAAATTCTGTTTCATCATTTTATTAGTATCTTTTATTATTCATTGTACATACCCAAACAAAGCAGCTTGCAATAGATGCTACAGTTTCTACTCCTAGCACAATTTCTATTATTGATATTTTGCAATTCCGTCTGATATTAATTATATATTTTATTTATGTCATGTCCAACACGATTCTCATTGAGTTCTTTGTTGTTCCACCCACAAATTAATACAATATAACTTGTCTGTCTTTTCCTATGTTTTTCTTTCTAGTTTCACATATTTTTCAGCATAAAATACGCAAGGGGCCTCTAATCCTATGTAATCCTAATTTTATTGGCGTCTAACTTTTCCCTATGTTTTGATTATCTTATGTTCCACCAGGAGTTTAAGTCACTCTCCACTGTAGATTTGAAGTGGTTTGTTTGAATTTCAATTGCCAAGCATTTATTGTTTTCCAGAAGTGATTTGTTTGAATTTCAATTACCAAGCATTTATTGTTTTCCAGTCTAATAATGTGCCAAATTTTGTATTTATAAATTTTATAGATCATTATCTAGTACACATGGCGCAAATTAGAAAATTCTTTATGTAACAATTGAAGAGTACCAAGAAATGACTAAACAATCAGTTCAGCTTTTTTTTTTTGGTATGCAGATTGTGAAGCTGCTTAAGTAGAAGCAGATCTTATTGGTATAACGATTGGAATTCCAATGTTAAACTTGCTTGTAATAGAGGACTCTTGGGATAGTGACATTCCAGGAAATTATATCAAGGAGATAAAATCAGGAGGTTGGGCCAAGGCTGATCATATCTCGATAGAAAAGAATTAGAATTGTTATGAATGGTATAAAAGAAATACATTGACCAAAATATCAGAACCGAGTATCGCACAGGATAAAGTGCTATTTGATAGGAGTCATTTGCTAAACCCATTTTAGGACGAAGTGCTACATTATGGTAGCCACCTCTTAAAACCCTTAAGAGTCACTCTAGAATCCTATCTTTCAAGTGTATGATTTTGTGTTATGTGATGACTATTGACAAAGATGTTAGTCATTTAAGTAGAAAAAATTGAACTCTTAAACATTGATCTATCTTTTGATGCAATTGCTAGAGTTTTATTGGGAATTTCAAAACCAAGCATGCTTGTGATGGAGCACTCTTAGGATGAGTGATCTTCTTGAAAGTTACACCAAATGACCAAGATAGTGAGCCCATTAGGACAAATTAAATACTACCTCGACTGTTAAGAAATCAAGGTGTTACAGATAAAAAAATTGTCCAAATTTTTCATGTGATGTCTTGAATATGAAAATGGCAGTCCGAAGAGGTCGTGGATTAACACCCAGACAATGAACGACTTCTGACAGGCTTATATGATGATAAACTTCTAGGAGAAAAAGAGGGTGATAATCAACCAAATCTCACCAAAAGAGGAGGAATTGATATTGAGCTATGAGAGAAAATATTTTGACCATAATATGCACAATATGTTCTGATGTAATGAGTGAATTTCTTGTGAGAACCACACAATTAAAGATGTTTGTTATGAATCACGACTCGGATGGGTGATTTCTGAGAAGTTACATGAAAAAAGATAAAATCACGGGGTTCACTATGATATTAGACGAACTAGGCTAAAGCAAACAAGTATAGTCTGGCTTGAGGCATTACAATTTTTACTAGAGTATAACCTCCTTAGTATGATATGTTGTTTGAGGATGAATCTAGCAGAAGCTAGTGGATCTATTGAATCCTGAATTGGAAGGTGGTTATATTAGAGTGAGTGTCATGGTTGAAGCCTTGACAAGGAACGATCCTAACAGGTTTCTATGATGACAAGCTTCTAAAATACATGGGAGACATGAATGAACCAAATCCCACATCAGAGGGGAGGAAAATGCTATATAAGTAAAGACTTAGGAGGGCATAATATGCAAGATGCCTTTTGTTGTAATAAATGAATTTACTTTGGGAACTCTACGACTAAGTGTGCTTGTAATTGAGTAGTCGTGAGATTTGTGGCCTTTTGAGAAGTTATACCAAATAGACAAAATTATGAGGCGGTTGACAAAGTGGATAATTTTTTTAGTGGTGACAATTACAAATATTACACAAGCCCAAAAAATTAGAACTAAGAGTCATACAAAGCCACCTCTTGGTCTTATATTGGGACAAAATACTACATGGTGGCAGCCACTTTATGAGCCTATAAGGTTCACCACCTAGAATCATGTTTGCCTTCTGAATGATTTTGAGATGTGTAAACATCACTAACTAGAAAGCTGAACTCTTCGACTAGAAAAAGCTGAACTAGAAGATTCTGAAATCCTTCAACCAGATTATAATGAACTCACAAACATCAAGATTTTTTGTTAATGATTGTAATATCATTAGAAATTGAAAAATTCAATATGATTTTGATGGAATACTTTCGGGATCGATGACTTTCTAAAAAGTTGCATAAGGGGGAAATATTATGAGGCAAACAATATCTCAATAGATAAGAGTTTTGGGTAAATAAAGTCTGAAACATCTAATTACATTGCTTATGGGAACTTTGATGCCCATAAACATGAACTTTACTTCAATACTTCCCCACTTTTGGATTCAATTAGTTTTTTTTTTTAATACTTAGTTGGTTATCATAGAAGGCTTATGTTAAGAAAGGTTGAGGTAGACCTAAAAAGACTTGGTTATAAAATATTGGAAATGACATTTCTTTATTAGATTTAAATGAGAATTTGACTCTTAACAAAACACGATGGAGAAAAAGGATTTATGTAGCCGACCCCACGTATTTGGAGAAAATCTTGAGGTTATTGTTGTTGTTGTTGGGTATCATAGAAGCACTCTAGATGGGTGACATAGAATTGATATTTATTCTACTACCAATGATAATGATGATAAATCTTTTTTTTTTAATCATGCAATTTTTCAAAGGAATTTTCTTAATTGCATGATGTTTATTTCACATAAATAGCTCAAGATCGTAGCCGTTGATCTCCGATGTCCTCATCAAATTTTCTTAATTGCATGATGTTTATTTCACTTGTAGTAGTGTGCTAAAAATTTAGTTTACATATCCTTTGATGGAAGCTCTGCATATAATCTTGAGATTAGTATATACTAAGAGTGTTATGCCTCATAGTATCCTTAAATGGCTTTGTGGTACCAGCAAACATGACTAATATTCTTGTAGTTTTTTTTGTCTCGATTATTTCTGCCAGTTTTCGCTCCTCATGCCTCAAATTTATTGGCTAGATTTTTCTTTTTTCAATTTCTCATGTGCTTCAACAGGGAAACTAGGTAGCTTTCTTACAATTATCGATTTAGATGACTTCTTTCCTGAAATCATCTTTTTAAACCAGGAAATTGAAAATTTGGGAGGTGTGACTTTTTGTTCAGCACTAGTAAGTTCTTCTTTCAGTTAAAAAAGAAAAAATTCAATTTCCATTTTTTGAACAGTGAACTGCTTGCTTAATCCTGTAGAATTCCCAAGTTAATTAAATTCTCATTCCTGTCTTATATTTTCTTGTTTCTAATCTTTTTATAATGTTAACCAAGATACAGCTTTTTTATGATAATTTTCTACACTTACCTGCAGATGCAGGGATGTGTATAAAGATGAAATCTGGAGCGATTCCACAAAGGCTCTGTCAAACAAATCACGCCATTCAAGTTACACTGATTGGTCTCTCTCAAAAGACGTTCTTCAAGTTGGGGATATCGTCCGTTCAAGGAAACCCAAAAACTCATGCCAACAGGCAAACATGGCCATATCCGAAGGAATTGTTGTGGGAATTGAAACCAAAGGTGATCGCAATGGTTTTATTCTTGTCAGAGTCCATAGGTTCCATAACCCTCTTAGGGTTCATACTTCCATGGTGGAGAGAGTGACTCATGGCTTTGCTTCTGGGGACTGGGTGCGAATAAGCAGCAAAGAAGATTTGAAGCATTCTCCTATTGGTATTTTGCATAAGATCGATCGCAATGGGAGGGTAGCTGTGGCTTTCACTGGAATGGAAACACTTTGGGAAGGTGATCACACTGAGCTTCAAATGGCAGCATCCTACTGCATAGGCCAATTTATTAGAATAAAATCAAATATATCAAATCCGAGGTTTGATTGGCCTAAGAATAAAGGAGGCATATGGGCAACTGGAAGAATCATGCAAATTCTTCCAAATGGCTGCCTTGTGCTGAGATTTCCTGGCAGATTAAGCTTTGGAGAAGCTCCCGACTTCCTCGCGGATCCTTCGGAGGTCGAAGTGGTCTGTTTTGCGAACTGCGATGGTGCTGTGAAGAAATACCAACACCTTGAGGATTATCACTGGGCTGTTAGGCCTTTAGTTATTGCTCTGGGTTTGCTCACTGCACTCAAGCTCGGAATTTTCGTCGGGCGTAGAGTGAGAAGCAGGCCAGGGATGAAGAAAGAAGTGAAAGTTTTGCTTGGTGAACCACCAAGGAGACAGCAAGAGAAGAAGATTCAGGATGGTCAGAATGGAAGCAATTCAGCCTGGTTTCCTTCTTCAGTTGCTAATATCCTTTTTGGAGAACCAGTTCCTCCTTCCAGGTAGTTAAAGATGAAGTGGTATGGATTCACAGGCTCAATTTCATGTAAGTAGGCCTAACTGGGTTTGGGTATTCTGCTATGAAGGATTTTGTGTATATGGATCAAAAACTTGAATCTTGAAACATTTTTAATAGCTATGAAACTTGCATGTTAACCTCATTTTTTGTTGTTTATGTCATGTTGGTTTAGATTCTTTGCTAAATTTAACTAATCTTTTGTTAGTTTTATATAAGATTATATATTTGATGCGTCCTGCAAATTGTGGTATAGAATTTTGAACTCAAACTGTTTGAGTTCTGGTTAAATTTATCTTGAATATTCAAAAGCTTTAACTGGCTTCATGATCAGGCTGGAGCTGCTGGGCTGTGGTTAAGCTGAAGCTTTTGATCTTTTACATGCAAGTAATTTCTTAATGTTTAGTTCATACTAAAGGTGAAGTGAAATTATTTCTCAATGTTTGAAAAAAATATATTCATATGTGACCTTGGGCTTTGTCCTCATAAGATAGCTGAAAAGTCATATTGATATAAAAATTAGATATTTAAGTGAAATGTTGTTCAATTTTGAGACATTGGTGGTATTTATCCAATGCTTTATATATTTTTTGGATTATCTTACTGCAAGTGGCGGGTCCCGGTCAGGTCGAGGGTCAAGGGACAGCGCCCCTACGGGGGTTTCTGAGGGTAGCACCACCTAAACAACTTTTGGTTGTAAGGATATTTTTGGAATTCAAATTAATAAATAAAATGATGAATTCTATTTACTATTTGGTGTGGGCAATTGCCTACAAATTATTGTAATAAAGAGTAAAAAATAGATGGAGGAGAAGAAATTACCTAAAGAATAATATAATAAAGAATTTTTTTTAAACATACTGAAATGAGCCTCCGATATAACAAAAATATGGCTTAGAATATTTTGATATAATTTTTGGTCCTTTTTGATGATTTGAACACAAATTATTCATGTATAGAAATAATTTTAGAATAATTATAATGAGTTTAAGGTTTTGTCTGGAATAGCTTTTTTTATTATTTTTAAAAGTAGTTTTTTAATATAAATATATTTTGAATTAAATTTTTTTATTAAAAAGCTTATTTAGAAAAAAATAAGAAAGTTGTTCCAAACAAAATTTAAGGCACATATAGTGATAATTAAAATTTCAAGCCAAGCCATCATCAGATCATAGGATTTGGAGTGAAATGAGGGAAGGGATGAAGATTTCTAGTGGAAAAGAAGTGGTGGACTTGAAACTGATAAGAAAGAAAGGTAAGGAAATCATGAGTTAAAATAAGAACAATCTCATGATTCTTAATCGTTCAACAATCAACTATAACTCCTTAAGTTTATTTTTATTAAAAAAAATGAATTTCCATTATTTTAATATTCAACAAATATAACTGAAAAGGAGAAGATGAGTTATGACCCATATTTTTTTTTTTAATTATTTTAGCTCTGAGTTGGTTTTATCATATACCCGCACATACACATTTGAATATTTGATATTATTTTACCAGCAAAATTAGCGTAATCAATTGCATGTCTTTGAACAAATTCATGGCCCTATGAGCTTGGTGTTATTTAGAACCTCATAACGGTGATAAATTATTTTGTGTGGACGCTGAATACAGTTCTGCATCTGAAGACTAACCAGAATGTGTCACGTCAGCAATACCGAACGCGGTATTGAGCGGTATCGAGCCGCGGTACCAAGCAGTACCGAGCCGCGGTACTGAAGTGACGCATTCTGGTTGGTCTTCAGATGGCGTTCGGCATCCGCATAGAATAATTTTTTGCGGACGACTTCATAAGATTCCTAAGTTGATGCATTATCCATCATTTGATAAACTTCAACGATGATATCAAGGTGTTTTTCTATATCATTTTCGACCTTTAAACATTGGTGTGAGGTTCCAGCCAAACAATTCTTAATGAGCATCAGGGGAGACTTATCAGATTTTTTGTTTGTTTGTTTGTTTGGTAAGTATCAATGAACTTAAAAAAGTGCTTCATAGCATACTAATCTAACACTTTGAGATTAAACTCCATACCTTATTATTGGATTATTCATGATACAATTGCCACACAAAAAGTAATTTTTTTGTGTTAAAAAACTACTTTAAGAAGCAGGAAAAAAATTGTCCCAAATGAAGTCTTAAAGCTTCATTTAATTTTTGTACTAGATTAGAATGTCATCTATGAACACAATCACAAATTTTGGTCTAACCAATCTCTCAATACCTTGTTTATCAAATTCATAAAAATTATTGGTGTATTAGTCACACAAAAGACATGATTAAGAACTCATAGTGTCCAGATATAGTATTGAAAACATTGTTCAACATATTAGACTCTCTCACATTCATTTGATAATATCTAGACTGCAAATCAATCTTAAAAAATATAGAAGATCCAACAGGTTAATCAAATTGATCATCAATTAGTGGTAAATGATACTTATTCATGATAATAACTTTGTTCAACAACCTATAATTAATATACATGCACATCATACAATCCTTTTTCTTCATAAATAGCACATGTGCTCCCCATAGAGACACTAGGATGAATAAAATCCCTATTTGCTAACTCCTAAAGTTTACCTTTAGTTTCTTAGGTGTCATTCTATACAGAGACATAGATATATGAGTCATACCTCAAAATACATCAATACAGAAAATCTATCTCTATTCGAAGGCAAATTGACTAACTCTATATGAAAAACATCAAGAAATTCATGTATTATAGGGACATCAAAAAGAGAACCAAAATTCATACTCTTATCCCATATGTAGGGGTGTAAATTCAAGTCAGCAGTTCGGGTTCGGGTTGAACCCGAATTGACCCGGTTCTAAACAGGTCAACTGGAACCCGACCCATTTTTATAAACGGGTCGACTTTTTCAACCCAGACTCGGCCCGCGCGGGTTGTTGGGTTGACACAACCCGACCCGGATTTTTGAAATACACCCGGCAACGCAGCGGCAGCGATAGAGCAGCGGCAGGCGATAGCGGCAACATGTGACGCAGCGAGCCAACGAGTCTGCGACTGCGACGCTTCAGGTTCACCTGTTCGGGACGCACCACGCGGTCCGCGCCATCACGCACAAAGCACTTCGAGTTCGGCACGCAGCCACGCACCGCGCACACGATGTTTCGACCTTCAGGATGCTTCGGGAATTGACGCTTCGCCACTCGGGACGCGACTCGTCGCTTCGGGACTCGGGACGCTTCGGGCGGCACCATGCAGCACGCGAATAGCGAACTCAAGTTCAACCGGGCAGGGTGGGCAGCAGACGAGGGCAGAGGTTTTCGGGTTTATGGGTCAACCCAAATCCGGATTTTTTCGGGTCGGGTTTCGAGTTGTGTAAAAAATTGACACCCCTTTCTAGATGTATGTCAAAAATACTGTATAACTCTTCTTTCATAATCTATCAACTTTCATAGTAGAAATCACATAGGACTAAACACCTCTAACACCGTGAAATAAACAACTCTCACATTCCATAAACATGGCGTCTCGCTTCTTCAAGCAATTAATATGAGCCTTATACCGACTCAACCAGCCCATACACAAAATGACATCAAGTAAAAAAAAAGAGTAATAAAATCAAACTAGACCTCTACTTCCTTTCAAAATTCTTAATATTGTAGAAATAAACCCTACTAGCTATTATATCATCTCCCGTCGATAAAGTAACGAATGAAGAAAAAGATAATAAAATTAAAGGCAAGTGCAGTAAACCAAAGCTACACTCAGAAATAAATGAATAATTAGCTCCAGAATCAAATAAAACTCAACATGATTAATAAAAAAATGTTAGCCATACCTATCACATGGCATCTCGAACCTCCTGCTGAGTCAAACTATACACATGTGGCTGAACTGAAACAACAAAACTACTAGACTCCCTCTAGCCTGTAAGCAGTATACATGCTACCAAGCCTACAACAAAACCCGAATAACCGCCTCAACTATTTAATCCCTCTAAAAATGTATGGAGTGGAAGTACCCTTGGTCTCCCTATAAGTCTAGCAAAACTCTTTGGTCGATGTTCAGAACATCGATCAAATCCTGCCTGTGGACACTCAGCCACCCTGTGTCCCACCTGTCCACATAAAAAATGCTATCATGTCACCCTGTAACATTGACCAAAATGTCAATTACCATAATGATGGAACACATGTGCTCCACTAACATAACTTAAACTAGCTACACTGTCACTACTAGGGATTATTCTAGATACATATTGTCCACCTCTCTTGGAATCTTCATGTGCAAATTTGCTCTTTTTCCCATAAAATCCATTGCTACAAGTCTCACAACCAAACCACTTATTATTAGCAGTCCATCATTGTCGAGTAGCTATCATAACGTTCTATATCAAACGAGCTCTCTCCACTGGCTCATATAAATAAAAAAATCACATAAAATATAAGTAAGGAAAATTTTGAGGAATTTAAATTGCATATGTAAAAAAATTGTGAGGAAGGAGATATATATATATATATATATATATAATTTTTTAGGTTTAAGTTAAAAATTAAATATCTTATAATTATATAAATGTTTTATTAATTGGTAACATTTAGAAATAATGAAAACATATGTTATTTATCATTCACCTTATTATACATGCTTACTAAAATTATTTGTTTATTTTAATGCATAACACATTTAATTACAACTTATATTTTGGATGTTTCTATAGGAAAATGCAAATATAAAGTTAGAGGCAGAGTAGAAATGTTCAATTTATGTTTTATGTTTTTATTATGTATAGCTTAAAGAGTATTGTTGATTTGAGGCATGTAAATGATGTGAAGTTTGTTAATTGCTCTGTAGATATAAATATGCTTACACTTTGTTGATAAATGTTGATGTAGCTCATGAATGTTTATAAATAGTTGATGCAATATGAAATAAAAAAATAAATTGTATGTTTTCATATGTTATGCTCCTCATTGACTGGTAGGAGCAAGGGTCGGCGGGAGGTGCGTCAAGCATGCTCACCAAGTAGGAAACGAGTGCAAGGTTCGTGTGACGGTGAGTGTCTTTGTCCAACGAGAGAGAGTAGAGTATATGTGCCATAGTATGAGCATCTTTATTGAGATTGGGGGCTAGCATCTCTGTGTAGAAGAAAGTATTCCTGTGTATTTCGAATTCGTCTAAGTCAGACAAATTTGAAATACATAAAAAAGAACTAAAATCGAGATTTGAAACTCCTCAAAATGTTACTTTATATTTGTTTTGTTTTTTTTCAAACAATTTTCCTAGAAATTTAAAACCCATTTTCAAAATGAAATATACTCAAAACAAGGGGTGTAAATGAGCCGAGCCACGTTAAACTGGACTTGTGAGTCGAGCTTATCGAGTCACGAGCTCGAGCTCATTCAAAAAGTCAAGCTAAAAAATTAAACAAGCCCAAATTCAAATTTGACAAAACTTAGCTCGTTGGCTTACGAACTGACTTGTATATTTTAAAATAAGAATCATAGTATTATTTTTGGTCTTAAAAAATTATAAAATGAATGTAACATGCATGAATTACTGCTATTATTTTTCCTTTAAAACTACATTCTTGCCACTTTTGCGCTTAAGCAATTTTGGTAGCAACAAATTTAATGTTTTTTCTTTGAACAATCAAGTGGATCAGTTACCTACTTCTCAACTGAGCTACATCCGTGACTTCCGTCATTGACGTCTTCTCTAGCGAGTTGCCTCTAAAACCTTCCTGCTGAGCTCTTGAGTTGAGCTTGAGCTCAATACATAGGTTCAACTTAAGCTCGAGCTTCAATTCGAATCTATTGTTAATTGTATGAGCTGAGTTGGAGTTAGATGTGACTCGAACTCATCTTGATCGATTTACACCCCAACTTAAAACTACTCTAATCAATTTTTTTTTTAAATATTTTTTTTTTTAAATATTTTTTTTTTCTTTTAAATACACATGAATAAAAATTAATGCAATGCATCTTAATTCTTAAAAGATAGTTTGTATATACATTAAAATTTAAGGAATTGTATCATTTGTTTTTTTGGAAATGGAGTCGTTTAATTTGAAGAGATCATTGAAAAGCTTAAGCTTAATTCAATCTGTGTGGGAGGAAGGGCATAATTTTTCATCCGAGCAAGAAAAAGCCGACTATCCGTGAACCAGTAACAGGTGGGACTCCGCGCTTCCGCCCTCTCTCTCTCTCCCCCCACCACTTTCTTCTTCTTCCTCGACTTATTTTTCTTTGGAGCAGATAACAGCGGAGCGCCTTTTCCGCTGCAACCTCTCGAATACGATGGACAGACATCGAGGCGACCGCTTCGGCGACGGCGGAAAGTACTCGAGAATGCCGTCACGGTGGCCTTCGGATACTCCACCGAACCAGCACCAACGTTTCCCTAGAGGAGGTGGAATCTCCGGCAGTGGTGAAGGCTTCTCCGGTGGCCGTTACCACCCTTACCGCGGCCAGCCCGACTATTCTTCCGCTGGTGGTCAGGGCTTCCGCGATGGTCATGGGGACCTAGGTGGGCATCAGATGCCTATGAATGCTCAAAAGCGAGGGTTTGCGGGGAGAGGAGGCTCTCCAGGTAGTTCATCATTCTCTTTGCTTAGTTAGGGTTTTTGGAGTTATGAATTTTCTTCTCACTATTGCTGTTCTATAGAGTGTAGGATTCAAAGAAATTTGGTTTTAGTAATCAAGTAAATTTGTAATCAGTAAATCTTGGGATTTTATCTTCGTTAGAGTTAAATCTTGAACGTTATTTGGATGCGGGGAAGTGGAGGCTTTGTTTTGTTTGAAGGAAAACGAAGAAATTGAAATCAGATCCCAATAGTTCATCTCTTTATTATGAGTCTGTAGCCATTGGTGTGAACATTTCTGCCATTTTTTAAACATACATTCACTTTAATTCCCAGCATCCAAACATAGCCTAATTCTCTAAACCCTGCGCCTTCAAATCCTGTAATCATGATTTAGTAAGTATTTACTAATTCTAAGGTTTAGTCTTGATTCAGTCAATTCAAGTTTAAGAAAGCCTTAAAAAACTGTGGCTAAATCCATCCTGAATCCTGGGTATATTTCCTAAAGTTAGGTTGCATGGATTCATAAGCATTAATTATAGCATGCGTATTTTAACTGGTAATATTTTTGAGTGGTAGAAACGTCTCGGAATATTATGTTTAAGGCATGTATCTGGGCATCAGAAGGAAAATGAAATATAGTGGTTGTTTTTCAGTGCATGGGCTGAAATTTGTGGAAGTTCTTATCCAAGTTAGAACAAAATTGTTTCTTTAATTATTTATTATGCTTTGGATGTTGTTTGTCAATGTGCTAGAGTTGTAAAAATTGACTTTGGTAGATTGCCTTAGGTATTTGCTACTAATTTCTATCTCATTTATGGTGTGTTAATTTTTAATAATATCTGCCATTTTCATTATAAATTGAGTTATATCTTTTTGAAGGTTTTTTACATTATCTTCCACATTTAGATGTTTTTTTATTCTATTTACTTCCACTTAATCTTTGATATATTTGCTTAAGTTGAACTGAACTAAGAATTACTTCTTACATTTACTCTCCTTAACTTTAGAAGATTTGGTTTCACTTAATTTATTTAAAGTTATTTGAATTCTTAGTGAAGATTGTCTCCTTGGTAGGATTAACTAAACTCCTTCCTCTCTCACCCTTACAAAACCTTTTTAAGTGTCCTGCATCAGGGAACCAAAGCCTTGTTGTTGACCTTAATGATGTGATAAACCTAATTTCAAATCGTTCTATGCAACTCCTTGGTTTAGTATAACATATGTCGCTTAATTTAGCCACTAATTGGCATATTTGTCCTTAAAAAAAAAGATCATCAGTCAAAGCACGGACCCAAACATTTTAGAGTATCGGCAAATTATAATTCAAAGTGGTGTAATCCTCCAGTTTACTTTTAAGTTGTCCCTCTATCCAAGGTCATTTGTTTAACTTCATCTAGAATCACAGACATTTTTTCTTCTGTTATGCTTATTTATTACCGATTTCCTAGCGTAATGTAAGGTTTCATGTATGATTATTTCTTTCATAAATGTGTTGTATATAAGTGGTGAAGTTTGAAATAAATGAATATTCTCCTGTTTTCATTTGGAGTTCTACTACTATTCCAATCAGAGGTGTTATTTCAGGGGAAACTTATATGTTAGAAAATGTGTTAAGACAAAACATCAAATTATGACAGCTTATATATATGTAACGTCAGAAATCAAATTTGCTTCCCAAAACCCATTTAGCATTTTCTCACTGTGTATACTGAGTGGTGACTAAACAAATTTATCCAAGATAAATCTTTTTAATGTGTATCTCTTTCCTGAAGCACATACTTTCTATTGAAATTGATCATGTATTTACTTGCTTTATATGTTATAAAGATAGTTAGGTTTTTTTATCTTTAATTTTGTTAAGCATTTCTTCTAACACGTTGACTGATTTTTCCCAGACTATGGTGAGGGAAACAAATTTGCTAAGCTGTTCGTTGGATCAGTTCCAAAAACTGCAACTGAAGAAGATGTAAGTTTTGCATTTTGTTTACATTTTTTTGTGACTACTGCATAGTTAAATGGTCTCATCCTTCTATTTCGATGTTGTGAACTTATATAAAAAGAATTGTCTGTTGATTTCAAATGTAGTGATTAAATATTTAAGTTTCTAAGCAGAGAAAAACATCCATATTGACAAAATTAATACATGTTTTTTTGTGTTTTTTATTTTCCTTGTGCCATCCTCTTGAATTTTTTATTCCATTGGCATTTTGTGATTTATCCTGCTTGGTGAAACATAATGCCACAACTCTAGAATGCTTGAAATTGCTTTCTTTAGGTTGTTTTATATCTATGCCCCTTGAAATTTTATTAACTTGTTTTTGTATTATTGTTTTAAGCATTGTATGACAGTCATGGTTTGCTTTTGAACATAAATCTAAAGCCAACACTTTCTGACATTCTTTTTACTATTCAATTGTGCTACTAAGAAGCATGATGCTGGTACCACTTTTTTTAAGTTTCAGCTGGAATGGCTTGCCTAGGGCTGATCTTTGGTTTTTAATAGAAAATGGATAAACTTGAGTCAATGGATGTGAACCTTCAATATTTCAATGTTCTACTTGCCAATCTTTTTTTTTTGAGGAGCTTGACCTTGAATTTGCAGAGCAGTTTCCAGATTCCTTTTCAGCAGAGTTAATGAAATATATATTTTAACTTATTTATTATGGTTTAAGACAATGATTAGACACTAGAGCGTGAGAATTATGCTTATTGTAAATGAATGGAGGTTTCAAGAAATGGATCATGGGGTTAATGTGATGGTTGATAGAGAATTTGGCAATTGGCGGAAATGATGGTGGCTTGATGTGATGATTAACGATGATACAGAAGATGCAATATGTTGGTTGAATTGACTTATCATTTGTTATTAAATGTTGCTAATTTTTTATACATAAAGTGTTGGCAGCGGTTATTTGTACAAGATCATGTGATCCAGATCGTTTCCATTCACTAAAAAATGGTAGTTAGTGAAGGAGCTGTGGTGCGTGAAAACAAAGCTTGAGTGAGCTTGCCTGTGAAAATATTCACCTTGGCTTGCAAAATATTAGATGGTTTTATGATGATTTTTGGTTTTCTTTTTTATGAATCGCATGCATGGTGTTGATTTTCTTCTACTTGTGGATGGATAGCTTAAAACCTTGCATTCTAACTAAACTTTGGATCTACTTTTTTTTTTTCCTGTTTGATTTGGTTTCTCTTCAGCTTGGGAAGCTTTGTTGAAAATTCCTTATTCTTGAAGTCCCCAAGTGCTTATTTGCTTGGTCGTTGATGGAAAATATGTTTTATAAAGTAATTTTTTATTTTTCAGTCATTTTGAGCGTGAACAGTAAAATCATCGTTTTTGAGGGATTTTGAAGAGTTGAAAAAATCCACATTGATTTCTATCTAATTCTACCAAATGATGGAATCTAATAAATTAATCATTTTTGAAAGCATGCTTTTTAACTTAACCAAGTGAGCCTATGAATAAAAACTTCTGATGTGTTGCTATTCTAATTTCAGTGCCATCTTACCCATTGTCTTACTTGTTCATCTACTTTGGATGCTTTATGAATTTTAAGAATAATTTCTAGTAAGTGTTGTTCTTGTGCAACTTATGTCCAATTAAGTGGATCAGCCATATGAGTTTAACAATTCTTTCATGATAAGCATTGATCTTCTGCTACTTCCAACAAATTAACTATCATTTTCTCTTAACGTTTTTTACACCAATATTATTCCTGTGCAAATTTTATTTTTTATTCGCATGGAAAAAAAATCAACTTTTATTTTGCACTTCCCATCATCCTTTCCTATCTTTTTTTATTCTAATTAATAAAATGTTCCCATGACTTTTGTTTCAAGAGTGTAGCTCTTGGAGCTGGCTTTGTTGTGCCAATTTACTCGGCCTCAGTTTTTCTTGTTTATACATTTTTTGCTCAGATTCGCCCTTTATTTGAGGAACATGGTGATGTTGTTGAAGTGGCATTGATCAAGGACTGGCGAACTGGTCAACAACAAGGTAGATTCAGAAGTTTTCTCATGTTCGTGATAAATTGTGGTTTTCTTTTACAGGTCCTTTGAGGCTTGGGGAGCAAGTGATTTATAATTTCTCTCAGATAATGTTTTTATCTGATTAGAGTGGTTGTATTCTGTTGCAACCTGGCCATTAATATGGGGTCTGGGTGAACTTGAGTTTCTTAATGAAAAAAAGGAAACTTGCCATTGTCACTTTTATAGTTACGGGAGCTAATTGATGAAATGGTAGCACATCTAGATGCTTATTGATTGAAAGTTTGCGATGCAATTAAGATGTTTTTGAACTGCTTATGGCCGTGCAAGGTGATAAGCTTTATTGAACTTTTCTACCCCTGGAGATTCGTTGCAGTTGTCCTTACATGTGTACTATTCATGTGCGATGGTGATGAGTACTATACACCTGTTTTAACTTAATAAAAACTTTGTTTTCTGCGTGCATTTTATATAAATACTAATTCTATAAAGGTTGTAAAATATTGGAAATCATGGAGTTCATTTCATGCTCTAGATGGCCTGGATTTTGTTATTAATTTTGGATGCTCTGCACTGATTCTTGTAAGGATTTTCTTTAGAAGACTTTGTGAGGTAGTTCTCTTAAATTCGGCATCTGTGGACTTTGTGGATGGAACTTGTTTGATGGTTTGCGTAATTTATTCTTCTGGGAGTAGGCATATTGTTCCATTATTAAGCATGGAATCACGTGGTTCTTTAATGTTTCTTTAAGAATATTTCTTTGAGTTTGCTATTGCTGGATGTTGGTTATTGGCTGTGTGCAGAGTTTATTCTAGATTATACTTGCTTGCTTTTAATTGGAAGATTTTGATGATATGCTTGGATGCTCTCTGTATGCATGTGACATATTTGGTTTGTTATTGTGGCCTGGACATTGATAATTGGATTCTGAGGGCATGGGTGTTTCCACCTGATTTATGCACGGATGAATGGTTCTAAACGCATGGCAGTACATCTTTTGCAAGACACAGAAATGAATGTTATACTCATGGATGATGGCTTAGAGTTTGTGAGGGTGGATGATTTATTGTTTCAGTTTCATTTTTTTTTTGTAATGATCTGTGCAAGGAATTCTCTGGGATGTGGCCTTTAATCATCTTAGGAATGATCAGTTCTGGATGGTAGAATTTATTTAACGTCTTTCCTTTGACTTAATCCCTTGGAAGTCATATCTAGGCTGAGTAATGAGATAAGGATCCTTTTATTCAGGAATAATTGAGCTTAAATGCTAATATTATGTTTTTTATATAGCGGTACTTATTTTCTTCATTTTTGTACAAATAAAAAATTCAAAAACTGGAGTACTTTTTTGTGGCAATTACTGTATGTCGCACTTAGTATATCTTTTGTTTCATCCATTAATACTTGAGCTGCTCTTCCCGTTCTTCTGAAATGAGTACAATATTCATGAAATGGCTTGGTGACATTTTAATGCAGGAACAATTCAGATGCCTCTAAGTTTCCCCTTTCTTTTTTGAATCCTGAGATCTGTATGTTGGCAAATGAGTGCACGTGTTTTAATTAGAGAAAGGAATGGAAGGAGCTGGCACTTGAAAAAATAGCGTTTTGTTGAGTGATTTGCTGGCCTGTGGACTTGTACTTATTTGACTGATTCTACACTCGTCATTCCTCAAAATTTGATTTCACATATAAATCAGCTTTTTGGGAATCATATAACAAATTTTATTTCCGGACCATTCACGCAGAAATATTTAAAAATAATGTTTTGTTTTTTTTTGGGGCGGGGATGGAGGGGAATATTACAATATTTCTCTAGGATCATTTTGTTAATCTACATTTTCCCCTAATTTTATATTATAAAAATTTAGTGGCTCAAACAGGAAACTTTTCTGGATGAGGCTGGTTTTCAACTGTATGTGTCCTGCACATGCTCCAATTTGTCCATAAGGCAATACAGTGTTGCGCATCTGTTGCTGCTCTTTTACATTCCTTCGTTTATTTTAAAAGGGCATATATAGTGCTCAAAGCTCTCGCTAATGAAGGATCCAAGGAGAGGTTGATGTGTGCATCCTTATCCATGTATTTGTACAGCAGCTGTTTTCATGAATTGAACATGGGACCTCCATGTTTTACTATAGGCAACATAATCCATCACTCCTATCTGTGGAACCTCAAATTTGGTTACTGGACCTACATGATGTATGTTAGAGACTGACCGTTTCTTTTCATGGAAGGTTAAAATAGTCCCTGAAGTCATGTTTTAGCCCAACTCAGTTTAATAAATTATGCTATGGCCACATCTTTAATTTCGTGAAGATTGTCTTAAACTTGTTATTTAATTTTGGGACTGTTAAACGTGATGAACGCCTTTTATTCTTTTGTTTTTTTGTTTGTGCTTAAAGGGCATTGTAGCGACAACATTACTCTTGGATGTTGTTCAGTTTGAGTGTTTGGTTGGATTAATATCTTTGAAGGCCAGGTTTTGCGACATCACAATTGAAAATAAATCCTGCTATTAGTAGTAGCACTTCTATAACCTTTCTAAATGCCCCTTATCTCTCCTGTCTTTTGAAATTTGGATTGTTTCTTTCATTCGTTCTTATGCCTGAGAAATGCTTTCATTTGTTTTTAAGCCTTCAAAATGAGCATGTTACTATTTAGAAGCTAGTGCTGCATTTTAAGTGAGTTGGCATAACAAATTTTGGCACTTTTTTGTGGTTTTCTGCCGTTGGGAATTCTTTGTTCTTGACATTAGGTAAATGGGAATGATATCATTATTCTGTCTGTTGCTTATTAGCATTTTCTTGTTGCACTATGGTTTAATTATGCATATTCTTGAGAATGGTAACTATGAGTGACTAAGATCTTTTGGAAGGTCATCATCTCAGAATGGAAACTTGTTGCGATATTAATCTGCTTTAAAGCATTTTTATTTTCTTATGGTTGGATCTTTTGGGCAGCTTGCAATTGGGTGCTATTGGTTGTAATATTTCTGTTGCAGGTAAATGTATCACCGCCATTTGGATTTAGTACTTCGCTATGACATTGAGAGAAACTGTTGTGTTTGTGTTGTGGTTTCTCTTATAGCAGTATTCCCTTGCGAGGTGCTGACTACCTGTTATGTAGAGTATGTGAATTGGTTTATATTAAAGAGAGATTGATTCTGTTATTGTTCATGGCTTGAGGAGCTATTTCCATTTGTCTTGGAATAGTGTGGTGCATATACGGATTATTTGAGTAGACCCTTTTAGGCACAAAAGTAGTGCTTCCTTTCTTGTATGGTGCTCCGCCCTCCACTTGGAATATGCTTGTGCTTTCTATGCAAATGGTATGGATTATGTTATGGGTCCATGCTTTGAGAAGATGTCTCCATTTGTGATGGAATTGTGTGGTTGATGTGCGCTACGGATTCTTTCATTAGACTTTTGTTGTGGTTTTTGAATGTGAGAAATGGTTGTTTGCTTGCGGACGTCTTCCAAAGAAGATTTGAGAAGCTCAAATCTACATCATTTTCATTTTTACGTCAGTCTTAATGTTTTTTTTTTATTTTTGAGACAGTCCACTTTGATAGTTTCTTTCAATATTGTTTACTTCAATCTGCTATAATTAATTATCTTTGCAGGCTTGCAGGAAATGCATAGAAAAGTTAATTGGTTGTAAAGTATTAAAAAAGATTTTTTTTTATTAGATTTAAATGAGAATTTGATTCTTAATAGAATATAATGGAAGAAAATTATTCATGTAGCTGGCCCCATATAGTGAGATAAAAGTTTGTTGTTGTTGTTTTCTCCTCATCATTTTCTATTGCGCTTTATTGAACTTTTGATAAAATATCAGTGTTAGTGGCTTTTGGTAAACAGCTAGATCAATATGCATAAGTTCACTTCTACAGGTTTTTGTTTCATTAAATATGCATCTTCAGAGCATGCTGATAGAGCTATAAGAGCTTTGCACAATCAGTTTACATTACCTGGGGTAAGTGTTATAGGAATACAATCTGACCTTATCATCAAATCTTTTGTTTCCTGCAATTGAAGTTAGTTTATGGTTTGATAGGCAACGGGACCTATTCAAGTCAAATATGCTGATGCTGAACGGGAACGATTTGGTAATTTTCTTCTTTCCTTTCATACTTGAAGGATTTCAGTACACAAATGTGATCATTTATTATTTGCATGCATTTTATACAGATGCTAATCCTATAGTAAAATTAAGGTGGACAATAAAATGTTCTAAAATTGCAACAAGTAGAAAATTCTGTTATTTTGCTGGGCCCAAACAGCATGATGTTGTTTTCTTACGTTTTTATTTTTCATTATATATTCTATTCTGCTTATGTTGGTCTAAACCAGAGTTTCGATGACAACAGTTTGCAATGACATGCCAGGAATATTAGTTTTTCAAACAATAATGATAGTCTAAACCAGAGATACAATGACAACAGTTTGCAATGACTTGCTAGGAACATTAGTTTTTCAATCAATAATGATGATTGAATATCTATCACATGCAAATTAGGTTTATTTATTTGTTCATTTACTTCTAGGCAATTGTTGATAGGTTCCAGTAACAAGCTACTGTTGATCTGATTCCTTTATTTGATAAAATATGTAAAGAGTTCATATATATATTTAAAGCCAATATGTCGTTATTGAACCTAACTATTGCAGGTTATTATGAACTGTGTGAGTTCTGTGATATTTGATTTTTTGTTAGTAGCTAAAATATAATATTTTTTGGTAATGCTGCCATGCCTTTTTGCGCGGTTCTAATGCAGGTAAATTTCCATTATTTTTGTAAGAAGCAAGCCAGAAAGAATGTAAAAAAACTTCACATGAAAAAAAAAAAAAATGATGGTTGTAAACCTATACATATCTTATTGGCGCCTTGGCAGTAACCACCGATCTTGATAAACCATTACATGATCCTTATTATAATGTTTGAGTAATAGCTTTTGTTTGTTGATATAACTTTTTGGTTTTTATGTAGGCTTGTCAATAGGTCGGTTTGTAATCTGACTTTATTTGATTAGAGTTCCAGTACAATTAATATGATAACAAACTAATTTATAGATAAAAGACTTGATTTTATTATAAACCTGCTCCATCTTTAGCATGGCGAGTTGGATCCAATTTGAGATCAACCCAACCCATTTAAGATTATATATATATATATATATATGTAGAACATCAAGTAGAGAATTATTAAGGTCCCATTACCAGAGCAAGATCAAGAGTCAAGATGAGAGCAAGGGTCATGAAACCCTATCATAATATAAAAATCAAGGGATTGAACAGATTCATCCAACATGAATATTAAAGAATCTATATTTCAAAAGATTTTGAATTATATGTATGATTAAAATTTCAAAAATCATATTAAATTTTAATAATTTGAATTTTTAATTTCTATCCTTTCCCTCTTTGTGGGAGGCTTTTGTTTATTTATTCCAACTTTTATAGGTTGCAATCTCTTTAAGTCATGGCCATTAGGGCCGCCCTCTTTATTAGGGATTGATTTCACACCACTTATATATTTATTTCATTCCTATTATATTTTTCATCATTTTGTAATTTCTTTTCGAAGAACATCATGTAATGCTTTGATATTTGCTTTGAGGAATTGAAAATATCAGCTTTGAGAAAAAATGTGGCAATTGAAATTTCTAGGATTTTGTGTGTTTAGTAGCTGACCTTTGTGGGATCTTCTTGTTGGAAGATCTATGTTTGCTCTTTATCTCTTACTCGGCTCTTCCCCAATCTTTCTTGCTCCTTTTTCAACATCCCTTGTCTCTTTCTAAATGTTTTCTCTTTCTCCCAAAAAAAAAAAGATATTGTTTTCTCTTTCTCCCAAAAAAAAAAAAAAAAAAAAACACAAGTTTCTTAAATGTGGTTGGCCAAAAGGCCCCAAACTTAAGCAACCTTGTCCTAGTTTGGTTATACACCGTTCACCACCTTTCAAACTCCTTGGAACATATCCAAAATCTTATGAATAGATTTTCACATTCCCCCCCTTCAAAGCCTCTCCAACCTCCAAAGATACCATTAAATCCATTCCTCAACTACATTTTTCAAAACTAGCTAGAAATGGCTCAACCTGGCGCTGTTTCCTAATTTTAGTGTAGCTTCTTAATTGTTGGATGCTATCCAAAAATCTCTCCCACTATGTGGGGTTAGCTATATGAATTTCTTTTCCTCCATTGTGTCTTCTTAAGAGTCAAATTCTTATTTAAATATAATAAAGTAAGGTCATTTCTAATATTTTCTAACAAAAAAATCTCACCCTAAGAATAATTTGACCAAGCCCTTGGCCAATTTTATTCGCTTGATCTACACCTTAGATAAAATTTCTCAAACCATCGAAGGGCGTTCTCCACATACATAGTCACCCACCACGGCAATTGGAAGCGTTGGTTCAACCCCTTCAAAGCTTGGTCAACTTTGGTATTCGAGGCAAAACTTGTACTTTGGCAACAAGTATCGTCTGGAGCTTTAACGTTTGGAAATTGTGATTGGTAAATCCAGCATCCACCAAAGGATAATCTTTGATATTAGATTTGATTAATTTCTTTAATTTGTGATTTAATAGAATAAAAAAGAAAATTAGGGATTTTTATATGTTTGGTGACAAGCTTGTGATATTGTGTGTTAACTCCAACTAGTTACCTCTACTTATAAGGCATAGTCTTTCCTATTTGAGAACCTATCACCTTAGCCCTATATTGAATAAAAACCTTTTTAGGATAACGCTCCACATACTAACCAACAACCAAGCTTGAGTGCTAACTCACATAGGAGCCAAATTTATATCTTTTTGAAATAACTTGTGATTTGCTGTAGGAAGCTTTGGTATTAGAGGCCAAGGGTGTTCATCATATCCATAGCCACACACCATGGAAATTGGAAGTGTTGATTCAACTCTTTCAAAGCTAGGTCAACGATGGTATCAAACGCAAAGCTTGTACTCTGCAACTTCAGTAAAAGTATCTTTTGGAGCTTTAATCTTTGACAATTGTGATTGGTGGATCTCTTGTCCATCAAAGGGTAATATTTGATACTGGAGTTGATTAATTTCCTTAATTTGTGATTTAATAAAATCACAATGAAAATTAGGGATTTTTTAATGTTTAGTGACAAGCTTATATATTATTGTATTTTAACTCCAACTAGTTACCTCCACTTATAAGGCCTAGCCTTTCCTATATGAGAACATATCACCTTAACCCTATATTGAGTGAAACCCTTTGTAGGATAGTGTTTATACAAATCAGCAACCAACCTTGAGTGCTAACTCACGTATAAAATCCAAATTCATATCTTTTTTTTGACTAACTTGTGATTTATTGTAGGAAGCTTACTTTGCAATTTGCTTGTCCAAATTTTATATATTTTTTTGGACTATGCATGAAGAAGCTTATGTTATGTGGAAAAAAGTAGAGTGTGATATTAAAATGTTGCAAAGGATGTGTTTGGAGTATTAAAAGTAAAAAACTTCTATTAGTAAAAATATTTGTTGATGAAATCAAAATATGTATGAAAGATAAAAAATAAGAAATTTTATTATAAAAATTGATTTAGGCGTAAAAACTCGAAAAATTGGGAAATATATAAAGAGGTCCTTAAGTAGTCTAAGAAAGTGACATGAGATTCAAAGAATTTAGCTTTTAATGATTTATATAATGGATTAGATAATAAGCTTTTCAATTATGATTGTTAGAATATGATTGACTTGAATGACCTGAGCGTCCTAAAAAGAAAATAAAATTTTTTATCAACGTATTAGTAAAATTGAAGTTAGAGAGACTTTAAAGAAAATGAAATGTGGAAAAGCTGTTGGACCTAATGCTATTCCAATAGAGGTGGGGAAATGCTTAGGAGATGAAAGAATTTTTTTTGCTTACGAAACTTTTTAATATTATTTTAAGGACTAAAAAGATGCTGCATAAGTGGATTGTTTTGATTTTGATGGACTGGTCCAGCCTGGACCAGCTATTGTATACCAGAGGCGGAACAGGGTTCCGCCCCCAGTAAAGCTGTCCCCTTTGTGGGTGGGGTCTGACAATCAATTGAGGGAGAATTAATGGGAGATTAAATAGGGATTGGGAGGAAAATTCAAATTAGAAGGGTTGTTTGGGTAGTTAACTCAGTTAATGGTGTGCTTAGGTATGTTTGAAGGCTAGGGTTAGGTTTTTATCTATGGTTTTTGCTGAAATTGGAGTTCTTTTGTGCTTGAGTGGGCTCTAGTGGCATCTAGAGAGTTGGGAGAGACGGATCTTCTTCTCCTATAGAAGATCCATTGTATATTGTTGCTTTACTTCAATTATTATCAATTTAAAAAGTTTAATTCGGGTTTTTCTTCCAAATTCTTCTCAATATCTATTTTGCAAAGTGCTGAAATTAAATTTCAGCAAGAGAGACTCTTGTTTCCTACAAGCATTTTCTATTAGATTCCTATTTTTAAGAATAAAGTTGATGCACAAGAGTGTATGAATTATAGAGGAATTAAGTTTATGTGTCATACTTTAAAATTATGAGAGAGAGTTATTGAGCATAGGTTATGATGTGATACTAATGTTTCTCTAAATCAATTTAGATTCATGCTGTGTAGGTCTACTATGGAAGTTATACATTTATTTAGGTTTGTCGGAGAAGTGTAGAGAGAATAAGGATGATCTATATATGATATTTATTAATTTAGAAAAAAAACATATGATAAAGTTCCAAGAGAAATATTCTGGAGAGTTTTAGAAATGAAAGAATGTCTATGGTGTATGCTTTTTGTTGATGATATTTTTCTTGTTGACAAGACTAGATAGGGAGTTGAAGATAAACTTGAACTATGGAGGTCAACCTTAGAGTCTAATGGTTTTCGTTTGAGGAGATCTAATATCGAATACATGGGATGCAATTTTAGTAGGATTAGATCTAGTGAGGGGATTGTGACTTTGAACGATCAAGTTACTAATAAGAGTACATGTTTTAAATATTTTCTATTGTTCAATTATGTGATAAAAAAGTACCCCTCAAAGGAAAAGTCTATAAGACGGTGGTGAGATTTGCAATGTTTTATGATGTAGAATGTTGGCCATTAAAAGACAAAAATAAAATT